CACAAATTTTTGTGCACCGGGCCTCTAGTTTTAAATAAAAGCCTCACCTCCTCCATTTTATAATTTGCCAGGTGGCTTCCATGGAAGAAATTCCATGATCAAAATGTGCAACTTCATTCTCAGGTGCATCCGGGCAGCCAAGAGCAACACCTTCAATGCAAGAAGCCGTACACTCATGTTTGGCCAAGCACACCCAAAGTCCAAGGGAAGGGCAGCACTGTGCTTTCAGTTGGCTCCCCAGTTCCTGTCCACCCAGTGCCATCCCATTATCCTTTGTACAGTGACTGTAGGAGAGAAATAAATGGGCAGGGAGTTGTTTTAGCCACAAGTCAGTGATGGTAAGCTAGTTAGGAATTCGTATGAGGCAATGTTTACAATGAAAGATTTATCTAGCATTTGCCACACAAAAGCCATCTTTATCTTTTCTTTATTTTTAAAAATATATTTTTATTGATTTCAGAGAGGAAGGGAGAGGGAGAGAGAGAAACATCAATGATGAGAGATAACCATTGATCAGCTGCCTCCTGCACGCCCCCTACTGGGGATCGAGCCTGCAACCCAGGCATGTACCCCTGACCAGAATCGAACCAGGGACCCTTCAGTCTGCAGGCCGACGCTCTATCCACTGACCCAAACCAGCTAGGTCTGAAAAAGCTATCTTTAAATGATTTATAAAAGAGTCTAAATTGATTCTATGGAGCTAGGAAAAACAAATAGAGACTTTATTTATTTATTTATTTATTTATTTATTTATTTATTTTTGGCATGGGTGTCTGCTACATATATTTGGTTCTTCAGTGACGATTAAATAGTACACAACTGAATCTTTAATTGTTTCCCAAAAAAACCTAGGGGAGGTGAAAAGAAGAAAATCTTTATTGTGTTGGGTTATTTCACATGGCAGACAGTGTAAAATGCTGAGTTCAGTAGTTTTGCCTGCTGAGTTCCACACAGAGCCCACAAAGGAATGAGAAGGAGCACAGGTGGGAACCCGTGGGAACACTGGGCCCTTGTTCCAAGACCACTTCCTCACCTCCCACTAGAGATGCTTCCAGGTCGTCCCCTCAGTGTTGTGAGGAGAGACCAACAAAGGCGTGTAACATTTTAATGTGCATTTCTAAGAATGTGTTGACAGGTACTCAAATCAGAAGCTAAAAATTATGCAAGCCATTTTGAGGAAATCCATTTCAACCCTAGGAATTAATATGTAATTGTGTTTTGTCTAGTGCTCTTTCGTTGAATATAAGGATTTTAAGCTGATATATCGGCAGTACGCAGCTCTCTTCATCGTGGTTGGAGTTAATGACACCGAGGTAAGATAACAGAAGAGCCTGTGGAAGATGCCAGGAAGTTAGGCCTAACAGTCTGATTTTTATTCCTCCTCACATTGACATTTTCTTCCCTACTTGCCTCTCTAAGAATTACTTAGGCTCTTTGCAGGGTTTTGGTTTCTCTCAGGGCTAGGGAAAGCTGTGTGGAAGAGAAATACCTTGGATTTTTATTGGATTACTAGTAAATGAGCAGCTTGTAGAGAAGCACAAAACCACAGAGGGCCTTCCTCGACCCAAAGCAACACTGGTGTCCTGCCCTTGTCCCGTGGTGCACAGGGGGCAGTTTAGACAAGTGTAGTGGCCAAGCTATTGTGGCATTAAACATGGGCTGACATGTCAGAGGCCACAGCAAACTGTGAATATGATTCTGTTGTGATTATGTCTCCTCAGATTTAAGTTCACCTTTTCAGAAATGTCAGGCCCAATCAACAGCACCTTTGGCCATGGACTCTCTGAAAGGGTGATCTAAAATCCTTTAAATCTCAGATTTTATCTGTGAACAAAACTGGGAGGTAGTTTCCGCATCTTCACAAGTGGAAAAGTGATGGCATGAAGAAACTGAAAAATTGCTTCAGCCAGTTGGTGGTGAAGTCAGGGAGTAGAGCTCAGAATTCTGCACTAGACGTGGTCCGGATTCAGTCCAGCTAGATTCATTATGGACATTAAAAAACCTTAGCGGTTACGGTTTTCTACATTTCTCCTCTTAATAAACTTCTTTTAAACGAGTGAGTTATAAAACTATTCTGAACAGTTGTCCATGGGAAGCTACCTTGCTCACGTCTGTATACCACGCCATGTGTGCGGGGGCAGCTCCCTGTCTGAGTCACACATGGGCCATACTAAAACTGATTGCATCCTCCCTTTTTTATTTCAGAATGAGATGGCAATTTATGAATTCATCCATAACTTTGTGGAAGTTTTAGACGAGTACTTCAGCCGAGTGGTAAGTCTAATGACTAAAACAGGGTTTTTGTCCTCAGGCCCATTTCTCAGAATTGGTTCTATATCAAGAACATGTGTTAATATGGAGCTTTAATATGTAAACGTTAAAACTGAAATGATGGCAGATTTCCTTTACCTTTCCTTCTGGCTCATGCAGAGTGTTCTGAACCTATGTATGCCTTAGTTCTTTATAAAAAACCATTTCTACAAGACTAAGAACATTTTATGTATTTCTCAGTTAAGAGATTTTGCTATCTAATTTGCTCTCTTTTCTTTCTTGTGCTTCCCCTTGTTAAAATACTAGGTATCTTTTTAATTTAAGTCATGGAAATTAAATTAGATCAAAACCAACTCCTCTTAAGGAATACATGAGTTCCTTTCCAACAGTTCTACTTAAAAAAACAAAAACAGCTGTATTGAAATATAATTTACATAGTATACAATTCACCCTCTTTTTTTAAAATATTTTATTGATTTTTTTACAGAGAGGAAGGGAGAGGGATAGAGAGTTAGAAACATTGATGAGAGAGAAACATCTATCAGCTGCCTCCTGCATACCCACTACCGGGGATGTGCCCGCAACCAAGGTACATGCCCTTGACCGGAATCGAACCTGGGACCCTTCAGTCCGTAGGCTGACGCTCTATCCACTGAGCCAAACCAGTCAGGGCCAATTCACCCTCTTAAATATATAATTTTTAGTATTTACATTATCTGGGATACAGAGTTGTGCAACCATCACCACAATCAATTTTAGAGTATTACATCACCCCAAAAAGAAACACAATACTCCTTAGCATTTCCCTCCCACTTACCTCTCTCCACCTGCTCCAGGCCCTAGGAAGTCAGTAATCTACTTTCTGTCTCTATAAGTTTACCTATTCTATGGTTTACCTGCTCTAGACATTTTGTATAAATAGATTTGTACCAAGAAGATTAACATGACCCCCACACAAGGATGACATGCAAATTCCTGAATAGAATTGTACAATATGTGGTCTTTTGTGGCTGGCTTTTTTTTTAACCTAACATTTTCAAGATTCATCAGTGTTGTAGCATGTACTAGTATTAGTAATTCTTTCCTTTTTATTGCCAAATAATATTTCACCTTATGGATATACCACATTTTGCTTATCCACTCTTCAGTTGATGGGCATTGGGTTATTTATACTTTTTGGCTATTGTGAATAATGTTGCTATGAACATCTGTGAACACATTTTTGTGTGGAATCATCTTTTTCCTTCTCTTGGGTATATACCTAGGACTGGAATTGTTGGATTACATGGTAACTCCATGTATACCATTTTGAATTGGTGCAGCCACTATGGAAAACGGTATGGAGGTTCCTCAAAAAATTAAAAATAGGCCGAAACCGGTTTGGCTCAGTGGATAGAGCATCGGCCTGCGGACTGAAGGGTCCCGGGTTTGATTCCGGTCAAGGGCATGTGCCTGGGTTGCGGACACATCCCCAGTGGGAGATGTGCAGGAGGCAGCTGATCGATGTTTCTCTCTCATCGATGTTTCTGGCTCTCTGTCCCTCTCCCTTCCTCTCTGTAGAGAATCAATAAAATATGTTTTAAAGAAAAAAAAAATTAAAAATAGAACTACCATATCACCCAGCAATCCCACTTCTGAATATATATCCAAAAAAATCCAAAACAGTAATTCAAAAAGATAATATGCACCCCTGTGTTCATTGCAGCATTTCAACAATAGCCAAGATATGGAAGCAACATAAGTGTCCATCAATAGATGATTGGATAAAGAAGATGTGGCACATATACACAATGCCATATTACTCAGCCAAAAAAAAGAATGAAATCTGTCCAGGGATTGTTGCTCACTGATTAAGTGTCAGCCTGTGAACCAGGTCCTGGTTTGATTCCCCATCAGGGCACATGCCCAGGTTGTGGACTCGATCCCCAGTGATTCTGTCTCATCATTGATGTTTCTGTCTCTCTCTCCCTCTCTCTTCCTCTCTGAAATCAATAAAAATTTATATATTTTTAAAAAGTCAGTTTTCCATAAATGTAAGGGTTTATTTCTGGACTTTCAGTTCTGTTCCAATTATTTGTATGTTTATCCTTCTGCCAGTACCACACTGTCTTCCTGACTTTAGCTTTGTAGTTAGTTTGAAATAGTCTTTTAAAAGAATCAGTAAAGATGTTTTACCCTGTTACGTAGGCCTTCCCCTGCCTTGGTTAGACATTCTTGAGAAGTAGAGGTAGCACAGGATGATTTTTCAAAGTTGTTTTGTTTATTACATTTTGCTTTTATTTTTATTTATTTATTTTTTAAATATATTTTTATTGATTTCAGAGAGGGAGAGGGAGAGATAGAAACATCAATGATGAGAGAGAATCATTGATCGGCTGCCATCTACATGCCCTGTACTGGGGATAGAGCTTGTAACCTGGGCATGTGCCCTTGACTGGAATCGATCCCAGGACCCTTCAATCCACAGGCTGACGCTCTATCCACTGAGCCAAACCAGCTAGAACTCATTTTGTTTTTAAATAAAATTATTAGGAAGGAATTGTTTCCAACTTGCTTCTTCCTGAGACAGTGAGTGAAATCCATAGTTAGTAATACTGAGTGCCATGAAGCCTGCTTAGGGCAAAACTCATGTTAACAAGTTATATCTTCAGTCTAACTCCTTCTAATGCCAAAAGTAGCGTTTGGCAGACTCCTTCATGGGACAGTTACCCAGCCTGTCTTCACTGCCTTGGTGCAGAGGTCTGTGTGTGGTTCCTGGACGAGCAGCATAAGCATCACCTGGGAACTTGTAAGACAGAACTCTGGACCCACCCCAGTCTGTTGGATTAGAAACCCTGAAGCCCAGCAGTCGGTGTTTTAACAAGCTTTGCAGTGATTCTGATGCATGCTTACCGCCTGATTCAGATGTTGGAGCTGGGAAGCTGCCTAGTGGCCTTCGACACCAAAATGCAGCGGTTCTCAACCTGTGGGTCGCGACCCCTTTGGGGGTCGAATGACCCTTTCACAGGGGTTGCCTAAGACCATCGGAAAACACATATATAATTACATATTGTTTTTGTGATTAATCACTATGCTTTAATTATGTTCAATTTGTAACAATGAAAATACATCCTGCATATCAGATGTTTACATTACAATTCATAACAGTAGCAGAATTACAGTTATGAAGTAGCAACGAAAATAATTTTATGGTTGGGGGTCACCACAACATGAGGAACTGTATTAAAGGGTCGCAGCATTAGGAAGGTTGAGAACCACTGCCAAAATGCATCTAACTAGGAAGGGATTGGTGGCCTCCAGAACTGGAAGAGGGCAAGAGGTTGGGCCATTCCAGATGCTGGCCTGAGGGGACAGAGAGCATTGAGGCTGGCTTTAAAATTCATCTTTGTATTGATTGTTTGGAGAGAGTACTGTCAACCAACAATATCCAAAAGAACTTTTCAGCAGCCATAGAAATGTCTGTACTTGTGCCATCCAATGCGGTAGGCGCCAGCTACATGCGGCTCTTAGACACTTAAAATGTGATTAGTGTAAATGAGGAATTTTAATTTTATTTAATTTTAATTTAAATCACCACATGAGGCTAGTGGTTACTATATTGGACAGCGTAACTCTAGCTCAGTGGTTCTCAACCTTCTGGCCCTTTAAATACAGTTCCTCATGTTGTGACCCAACCATAAAGTTATTTTCGTTGCTACTTCATAACTGTAATGTTGCTACTGTTATGAATCGTAATGTAAATATCTGATATGCAGGATGGTCTTAGGCGACCCCTGTGAAAGGGTCGTTCAACCGCCAAAGGGGTCGCGACCCACAGGTTGAGAACCTCTGCTCTAGCTCCTGCTAGCTCCAAAGGACCACTCTGTTAAGACTGGCTGGTTGCAAATCAAAGCCTGTGATTCAGGGCTGGCCATGATTAGCCACTTTAAGGGAACACCTACCAAGAAGAATATAATTTCCCAAATTGGCAATGTTTTAAACCTGGGAGACTAAAGAGTAGGTGCAAGCACTATCATTTCTAAGGTTTTTAAAATTATTATTGTTATATTCAGTAACTGAGCATAAATAGCATGTTGCTGAATTGGGCTGTAATTCTAGGGAGAGTCAGTGACCACATAAACCACAGAGGTAAAGATCAGAATTTAATTTAAACCTGGTGATTATATAGGACTTGGAGGACCTGGGTTTAGGAAGACAGTAGTAGCAAAAAGAAGAGAAAGAGGAGGGAAAAGAGTACTATGGGAAAGAAAATAGAAACTGTCCCACTCATGGAGAATGCCTTGTCATCTAAAATTATTTTTAGGTTTCTGAGTTTTAAACAATCTTTCTGGGACTATTTTTAATCTTAGGGTTTCCAAATCTTAAATTTGGAGATCAGTCTCATGCTGCTGTCTGCGCTGAAAGAAGCATCTCAGCATCACATTTCAAAACAAAAGGCCAACTCAATCAGCGTTAACGGAGGCAGTTTGCAAAAGCTGAGGCTGCTGCTGTTGAGGAAGTGGGAACAGGGATGTCAGTGCTGCCTATGTCAAACTTAAGTCCTTTCAAATAATGGGTTTGGCTCTTTGCTTGTTTCCTCCCTCTATGAATATCTATGTTCATTGGAAAAAAAATTAAAAATACATACAAGCAAAAGAAAGGGGAGAAGATCATCAGTAAGCCCATCACTTATTGGTAAATGTCCTTTCAGGCTCTTTAAATGTCTATCTAATGTCTGTCTCTCTCTCTCTCTCTCTCTCTCTCTCTCTCTCTCTCTCTCTGTAAATGGTAAGTGCCATGGACAGGAAAACAATTATATATATACTAGAGGCCTGGTGCACGAAATTTGTGTCCCTCAGCCCGACCTGCGCCTTCTTGCAGTCTGGGAGCCCTCGGGTGATGTCCAACTGACATAGAGGCGGGAGAGGCTCCTGCCACCACTGCTGTGCTCGCCAGCCATGAGCCTGGCTTCTGGCTGAGTGGCACTCCCCTTGTGAGAGCATACTGACCACCAGGGGGCAGCTCCTGTGTTGAGCGTCTGCCCCCTGGTGGTCAGTGCACATCATAGCAACCGGTTGTTCCGCCGTTTGGTCAATTTGCATATTAGCCTTTTATTATATAGGATATATGGGATAATTCTGGATGTAACATACATATAACTTGTTTTTTATTCAACAATATGTCAGTACATATATATCTGCATCATCATTTGTAGATCTGCTATAATGTTTTTAATTAGCCCCCCTAATTTTCAATAATTTGCTGTTATAAGCATTACCCTGAATATCCTATCATACATTGTTGTGCCATTATCTAATTATTTCCTTAAGATAAACTTCTAGGAGTAAAATTGATGGATTAAAGGGTATACACATTATTAAGGTTTTTTATAAACCTATCAAAAATTGCCTATCATCTGTAAAAGTTGAGTTAGTTTATCCCATGTTCTAAGGATAACTGTTCTAGTCTATAAAAATGCAGCCCTTTTTTTCAAAAATCACAATCCTAAACTCAGGGCCTTCCGTTCTCACACTTCTGCACCCAGAGCAGCAACTCCCCCTGCTTCCAGATGTGTGGCCAGAGCAGCCCTAACTCTGCTAAGTGCATTCTGTCCCGATGTCTCATTCTCATGCATGCACTCTTTTCTCTTCCAGAGTGAATTAGACGTATCCTTTTTCAATGCTGTGAGTCAAGCTTTCCACAGTATTTGGCAAAACACAGGGTAGTCTTTATCAGGTAAGTGCCATGGGCAGAAAAACAATTAGGCAGAATCTAGAATCCAGAATGCTAGTCATCAGTGACCATAACATGAAAGCCAGAGGTACAGCTGCTTTGTAGAAACACCCGCCTTTTTTGCAAAGACAATTCTTATTAAGATTTTTGTATGTTTCAGACAAGGCAGTTCTGTGGTACTAGTTATAATAACTGTTATATATTAATTTAACTTCTCTTAAGTATACAGGATAGACCTTTTTAGAATTTAAGTAACACAGGCAGAAAGTGCGTGGTCCTTGTAGAGAGAATGGATTTTCATGGCTCCAGGTATAAATCTCCAGAAATTCCCCACATGGTCAGAATAAGGCTTCAGGGGTGATAAACCAGAGGGTTAAAGAAGTTGCCTGGCTCATCTTCATTTCCTTTTATAACAGAGAATGCTTTCCTTTTCTTCTCTTCTCCCTTTTATTGTATTTTTTCTAAATTTATCTTTATTATTGAAAGTATTACATATGTCCCTCTTTTTTCCCCATTGACCCCCCTTAATCCCATACCAGCCTCCCTCCCCCCTCCAAGGCCTTCCCCACACTATTGTCTGTGTCCATGGTTATGCATATATTCATATAAATTATTATGTTAATCTCTCCCTACCTATCCCCCCACCCAGCCTTCCCTCTGAGATGCCACAGTCTGTTCCATGCTTCTATATCTCTGGATCTGTTTTGTTCATCAGTTTGTTTTATTCATTAGATTCTTCTCCCTTTTAAATCAAAGTATCCAAGGCCCCAACAAGAAGCATGATTTGCTTAGAATACTGTAGGCCTGCAGACTATGGCAGGAGCCCACTAGGTATGTGTGAGTGCTCTGGAGGGAAATTGACTTTCAAAAATTTGCTTACCACTTGAAAGCAATAATAAAAGAGTCCTTTGAGAAAACATCAGGCTTGAATCTAAAATAGTTACACTAATTATAACAAATAGATATTAATTATAACGTGCTTAGGTATATGTTGGTATACATACATTTAGACATGTATGCCCAGAGTCAGGATATTCTGAAGAAATAGCCATTTACCTTTAACTAGTGATAGAAAATGTCATCATGTTGATAAACTTCATTTTCAGGCTGTATTTGAAAGCCTCTTTAAATTAACTGGGAAAATCTGCGTGCCCTCTAACGGTGAGTGACCTAAATCTAGGACCCCTTTGACTTAGGAGACCCGAGACCACGCTGTGTATTAGCATGTAACCTTCCATTTTAACTCAGCCCTTTAAAGCAATTCAAAATAAATTTCTTCCTCCTTGTACAGGGGAATAAGAACTTGCCTTTTTACTTCAAGGAAGATAGTGAAAGCTGATAGACACTTCCCTGGGAATACAGAACCCAAGTTCCACTTTTGGTCCTACCACCAATTAGCTGTGTGTGTTGGACAAGCCACACAACCTCTCATCTCAAAATGATAGAATTAGACTAGAAGAGCTTTAAAGTCCTCAGCCTTAATATTTGATGTTGCTATGACTCTAGGTAACTGAGCTGAGTTACCTTACACCTGGAACAGGAGAGGAGAGTCCTACAAGGTTAGATATTCAGAGAATTAAAGTGAGTCAGATGTAACAGGATATGTAGTACAGTTGGCCTAGTTGTGTTGATGTGTCTTACATGTTGACTAGATGTTTATTAGAAGTAGAGATGGGTTTGTCTTTGGGTCCCTCTGGTGAATAGCAAAGGTCCATGTAATGAGCTCCAGCATTCTTGTTTGAATTTAATTTTCACACTAAGGCACACAACTTGTATCTTTCCCCTCATTTTACTTAGTTTCATTTTTGCCTTCTCTTCCTCTCTGACCTAATTACTTATTTACTGTCCTAAGGAGTTATTTAGGCATATCCATCTGACAGAATAGTAATTTTTCATCTTTTAGAGAAGAAAACTAAATCTCTCAAGTGTACGTCTTTGCTCGAGATATCATTCATGGGGATCTCCAGTAGTCTAAAAGTGGAGTAGGCTGCAGGCCAGGCAAGGCCTGGGGCACTGTCTTCTATGACTTTTTTTTTTTAACATGTTTTTATTGATTTCAGAGAGGAAGGGAAAGGGAGAGATAGAAACATCATTGATGAGAGAGAATCATTGATCGGCTGCCTCCTGCATGCCCCACACTGGGGATCGAGCCCCCAACCCAGGCATGTGCCCTGATTGGGAATCGAACCTTGACTTCCTGGTTCATAGGTCGATGCTCAATCACTGAGCCACACAGGCCGGGCTTCTATTGACATTCTTAAAGGGTTTTCACCCTCAGCCATCTGAAAAAAAATCAAATTAAAAATCTACGACTCTACTCTGTCTCGTCCATAGTTCTTTTTAACTATCAAATGTGCAGGGAGTACCGCTACACACCAGTTTCCTAACAGGAAGACCAGGGCGCCTTGTAGAGATGCGTCCTGTTTCCTGCTCTCTGTGTAGACCATAGACCAGCGGTTCTCAACCTGTGGGTCGCGACCCCTTCGGGGGTCGAACGACCCTTTCACAGGGGTCGCCTAAGACCATCGGAAAACACATATATAATTACATATTGTTTTTGTGATTAATCACTATGCTTTAATTATGTTCAATTTGTAACAATGAAATTGGGGGTCAGCACAACATGAGGACCTGTATTAAAGGGTCGCGGCATTAGGAAGGTTGAGAACCACTGCCATAGACGATCTGCATCACTGCTCTGGTCACTAACCAGGAACCTGCTGGAGCAGTAAGCACTGTTGAGGTCTATTTGTACCAGGAAAACTTCCTTAGGTCTTGAAGGGTTGGAAACAAACAACTGATACCATTACAACCTGGAGCAGGTTCTTCCAACACTCAGAGCACATGATCTTTCTGTATGCTCAGGCTTACGGAAGCCTTCTTTGTCAACCCAGAGCAACCGACACAATTTAGGCTCAGTTTTATGCAGCAATAGGAGGATGGAAGTCAGAACCTCAGGGAATTCCCAGAAAGTCCATGAGGCCCTGCTTCTATTAGGAAAGTGTGCCCCATTACATACTTCGGTAAACTTATTTAAGACTTCAAATTCCATGAATTAAGATGATTTTTTGGTCAATAAATAAAAATTTAAAAAAATTTTTTTGAAGATGGTTTTTAGGAATCAACTGATGAGCTTCCCAAAATGTGCTCCACTCTAGAGCCCCAGGTTTGCTGAATTCTTCAGACAATTTGTAATTCAAAGGAGCTGTCTCTACCCCCTCCTGCTAAATAGTCAAGGGGTGGCACCAGTGCTGTGTGGGAGATGTCCACCTTCTCGATTCTGCACACCTACTGTGTGTGCAAAGGTACAGGAAACCTTCAGCAGTCTTTGGCATTTGGTACCTTTAAAGGGGCTTAAAGACTTGGTTTATTTTAGCCAGAATGGAATGCATCAGTCCTGCCTTTGGACCTGGACAACTAGGGTCTTTTTCCTGGGCCCCCATTCTAGCCTTCAGCAGCATCCCTCTCCATGGGGTGAGGGTGCTTACCGAGAGCTCTCAGGGCCCCCCATCCATTTCTTGACTATCCTCCAACTACTTGGGCCCCAGAATTTACTGAGTACCCAGACAGCCCAGAACTGCTGCTAGGGCAGGTGCAGGCCTCTTCCCCCACCCCTACCCCAGGACTGTGGGCAGGAATGATAGCAGCTGGGATGGTAACTGTGGTAACCCCCACACACTGCATGGGGAGAAGAGCAGGGAACAGGCTGGGTCCCTACTTGTATTCTTGTGCCCCCCAAATATAGGGTATGCCTAGAAGCCAGAATGTTTTAATTGAAAAATATCTAAAGAAAAATCTTTAGAACGTTAATTATGAGCTGTTTTTATTTTACAAGTCCTTAAAGCCCAAAAGCCTGAGCAGTTAATTCCAGAACCTTACAGCTCATGTGGGTAATGTGAAAGTACCCTGACTCATGCCCTCTTTATCGAAGTTGAGGGTGGGGAGTAGGAAGGGTCTCCATCCTGCTTGCACTGCCTGTGACTCAGGCAGTTACAGACCATGGTGCTCCCTGGAGGAACGAACGCACCAGGTAACGGAATTCATGCGCCTCCAAGATTGGCAGGCAGGCCCCGATCACTGCCCACGGTGGGGCATCTCATTCCTTCACTACTGTCCTAAAATCCCAAACACTTGTAGAGATCCAGAAACCAGAATAGGGCTTCTCCAAGTAGGAGATGATTTCAGCCTAACTTAATGAGAAATCACAAAGTACTTGTTCAACTAGGGGCTATGGAAATACTGGCAAGATGAACAAAGAAATCCCCCAGTGAGCCATTCTACACTGAGGTAGCAGCTTCTAGTGAACTGAATTTTTGTGTTGTCCAGAAAGTTACAATAATTAAGTCATTACAAAAGGATTTCTTTTGAGGTGTGATGGAGCCTACATCAGGAATGACTTGATAATATCAGAAAGGAGTAAAGTGGCTCCCTCTCCCTGAAGGTTACTTTTAGTCAGAGGACTTGAGTGCTTTAAAGTTGGAAAACTTCAGAATCATCAGGTTAAGACCTCACGTTTTAGATGAAGAGGCTGAGGTCCTGAGAGGTTCTGTGACATGCGTCCCAATCCATAGAGCGACTTTGGGGCACAGCTGGTATTCTGGGTTTCCAAGGTGCTTGACTCTAGGGCTATAAATTAGATATAAGATTTTTTAAAAATTCATAATCATCTGGAGTAGATTATGGCAATCTAGTCACTAACAAACTAAAGTGCCTGTCACCATGCTGTCTTGGTGTTGTCAAAGTTTTTTTTCTGAATTAGGGAAGTCTTAGAGAAACAGTAGTCTTTGGTTGGAGGAGTCAAAATGAAGAAAAATCTTGAGAGTATCTGAATGTCTTGATAAGAGCATGCTCTCCAAAAGTGGGGTTCACGTTCAGAGATTGCTAAACATCTCTTCCTTTTGGAAGCATGTAAGTTGAAAGCTGGGCTGGAAGGGGTGAGAGCTGGCCCTGGACTTGAGGGAATGTGTGCAGCCCGTGCCGTGTTCAGAAGGGCAGGCAGGCACTGAGCCAAGGGCCAGCACCCTCCCAGCAGGTCCCCCAGAGCTGCCATGAGCGGGGAGTCTCAGCATTATGAGCCGTCAGTCCCCAAGAGTCTACTAGGAAAGGGATGTGAATGTTCCAGATTAAATGGCTGCCTTCCAGGCTTTTGGGGCTCTCACTAGCCTTAGCCATCTATTCCCTTTAAATGTGTTGAGTCCTTGAGGTGTCATGCCCAACTGCTGCTCTTCCTCCCAAAGTCCCTCTGCCTTCCCCCTTCTTCTCCCCCTGCGTCTGGTTCTGTTTGACTCAAGAATGGTGACAACAAGTCATGAGAAGCAACAGTTAGGAAAAAATACAAGACAAATGACAGGCTTATTTGACTCAGCACTGACTTTCATATTTAGGTAATTTTTACATAAGTCTACATAAACTTTAAAAAAATTACACCTGGATGTTTTGTTGCTCTCAGAGTAGGAATGGGTCTTTAAGGCAAACCTACTTTTAAAAAAAGATATATTCCTGTTCTGTGGCCTAATTAATGAGAGACAATGCTAAGCCATAAGCAAACAGAAGACTATATTACAGGGAGTGTATCCAGGACTGCAGAACCTTCATGCGGATAGTTTCTACATGGTAGTAGTGGGCTTTCTGTGCGGAATGGGAACCTAACGGCCTTTCACAGGTTATCTAATTTCATGGGAAATTCAAGTATAAATAATGAGAGCAAGTTTTTTCCTATCTTCATGTATTGAAGAACTTCGCCTAGCTAAGAGTGAGAGAGAGAGAGAGAGAGAGAGAGAGAGAGAGAGAGAGAGAGAGAGAGAAAGGATTAAGACCAAAGTCTAGTTAGAAATTTCAGTTCTAGACTGGACTCTGCCTTGGAGTTGTTTCTGAGGTCCCATTTGAATGTATGCTGCTCAGTTTCTCTTAGAAAAGATTAAAGGGTAATTAGGCCACCACAGTGGTGTAAAAACACCGTGTTGAAAGTGTTTTATGATCCAGAGATCAAAATTCCAATGTAGAAACCACAAACAGTTCAATCCCTTTAATTAAAAAATTGATTTCAAGTGGCAGTAGCATTAGTGGGGCCTCAAGATGTTCAACTCCAATCTACATTACATAGAATTCACAAAGGCTTCTGGGCTTCAGGGTTAGGAAAAAATGGGGCTTTACGAATCTGCTCTTTGGAGCGCTGTTTCCAGCTCCTACCAGCTCCAACCTTAGGTGCCTGTGAAGGGAAACACGGTGTATCCAGGAACTTGTCAGCCAAGTTCAGTATAGCCTGAAGGTAGGACCTTGAAATCGTCATCCTCAGCTCACCATATTAATAGACCAGCAGCCTAGCCTTTCTTGTTTTGTACTATTCCTGTCATGGTTGAAGTGGGTGTGCCCATTTTTTACCATGGGTTTGGCATATAGGGTATTTTTTTTATTCCTGCTCACCTGGCATTTGGCCCAAATGCCATTACTCTTGGCTTCACCAGTGTGCACAAGTGGCTCATAAACCAAATCAAGATGTGACCAACAGCTAGATTATTTTAAAGGAGTCATATGATTCCAGGGGGAAACCAGCCTTCAGGCTGTTGCCTCACATAGGATTTGGTCTGTGGTTTCCCTATATAGTGCCAGAAAGCTGCATGATTATTAGCGGTTTGAGCCAGATACTCAGATAGATAGGCAGTCACATGCCCACAGTACAAGATGACCTCACTGAGCAACTCATGTTTCCTGGATGTTGGGAAATTCAGGCTAGCCGAAGAACCTTGTCCTTGCAATGTGAGGATGTTGGTGGTTGACAATGATTCAGCAGTACATTCTAATCTGAATTTCAAAACAATTAGCCAGTTGCTCAAGGGGACATCTGAATTGCTGATCATCTACTTTCCAGAGATGGAAGTCTTCAGAGTAGCTTGATCCCTGAACCAATTCAAATAGATTAAAATTAGATCTTTTTCTGTCTCAAAGAAAATTATCTTGGATGAGTTGGCATTCCCAAAGGCACTAAGGTTTTCATTGCCCTGAGTGAATACAGCAGGGGGATTCTCCAGGGCATTTTACATGCAGCCACCTGTGCTCCCCAACTCCGCCTTTGTAACCTGCTATCATTCCTGCCTTGTCTTGGCTTCTTTTGAGTTCTGGCTTCGGGGTCTGGTGAGCAGGATTGAGTCAAGGGCCTAATATTTCAGTCCCAATCTGGCCATGGACAAAGCAGTCACCTATATAATTGGAAGACATTATTAATAGGTATATCCGAGTAAAGCTTTTTTTTTTTTTCTGGGTCACTTAAGGACAGTTCCCATGGGCTTCTGAAAAACAGTTTATTCTGCTGGAGGACTATTTGCACAGAGCTTAATGAGATGTTACCGCAGAGCCTAATAGAAACTTAAAAGTCATTCACAGGGTTGTCTCATTCTCTATAGATGTACTTCACTAAACATATACAATATAGACTTGGACATCTGGAATTACTGAAAAAAAAATCAGGTGGTAATGATTCATTTTATACAGATTTATTTAAATATGAATTTCCTTAGTGCATTTAATCACTTATTTGTTGGAAGTTTGTCCACTGAAACAATCTGTCAGCTGTTGTGTGTTTTAACAGATCAGGATAATGCTCTTTAAATAGAAATGGAAACTTAGATTCATAAACATTCAATCATTGTCATCACCTCATTCGTTTCACAAAAGTAAAGTTAGGTACTCAAATGAAGGGTCTTCTGGAGGAAGTATTTGGCTCTTTCCAATTAGGTAAACATCACGGTCTAACAATATTTTCTTCTTCCCCCTGCCCTATACTAACTTTCCAGTAAGAACATCAGTAAACTAAAGTGACTCCATAATTCTCAAATGAGTATTTTTAGAACTGTCCATTTATAAGAGGTACTGTCTTGAAATTCAGAATTTTCATCTACTTGGGAATTGAGTCCGCATTGCCTTGCCTTCGTCATTCATTTCTCCTAATGGTTATTTTTTCTTCAGCCCTGACATAGAAGAGAGTTTAAAATGCAAGGTCATAAAGGCATTTATTATTGGGTGGAGGTTTGAAGGCTGAATGAGGGCATATACTCAGTAGCCTAAGGCCCCTGCTGAGAAATCTGGAAGCAGAGCAGTCAAGGCCAAACTTTGGGCTGCAAGTCCAGCTCTGGCTATTACTATCTATGTGACCTTGGACAATGGCTTTGAGCCTGTTTGCTCCTGTGTAAAATGAGGATAATATGTAACATGTACATCATAGAGTTGTAGAAAAGGCTAAAATAGTATGTAAAACAGCCAACACAATGCATGGAACACAGTGTGTAGTCAGTAAATCATGGCTGTTACTGCTATGAGACAACATTATTCTTTTTTTTTTAATATATTTTTATTGATTCCAGAGAGGAAGGGAGAGGGAGAGATAGATAGAAACATCAATGATGAAAGAGAATCGATTGGCTGCCTCCTGCATGCCCCACGCTGGGGATTGAGCCCACAACTGGGGCATGTGTTCCCCGACCAGAATTGAACCCGGGACCCTTCAGTCCTCAGGCCAATGCTCTATCCACTGAGCCAAACCAGCCAGGGTGAGACAACATTATTCTTGAGGCCAAGTCATGCTCTTGCCAAATGTCACTTGCGATGTTCTCCAGCCCTTAGTGGATTCCTTCTCCCTCTGGCTAACAGGTGTAGCTGTTCCATTTCTATGCCTGTAGTCCAGTTAGGTGTATCTGTGTACATGAAGGTAATAATTTCTAATATGGACACCAATTTAAAATTTTTTCAAGAATAGTGTAAAATAAACAAACAAAACACCTTCATACTTAGCCTGGGATTTTTCCAGTGTAAATTAGTCTGAGTCCTAAGTTATTATTTATTTAATGTTAACATTTTTATAACTCTAAAACTAATTTCCTTAATATGACTTTAGATAATGTTTAATTTGGATAAAGTACACATCATTTTGGATGAGATGCTATTAAATGGCTGCATTGTAGAAACGAATCGGGCAAGAATTCTTGCCCCTCTACTAATTCTTGATAAGATGTCAGAAAGCTGAATAACGGAAGGCTCTGCCAGGAATCGTCGAGACAAGAAATGAGAGCATGGAATACCTCCTAGCATTTGTAGCCCAAAGAATCTGAAGAGCACACTGCAAAATGGGGCATCTTTCCAAAGACATTTTAAATAGGTGTTTTTCAGTTCATAAATGGAAAACAAAACTGTATTTTAAAATATGTACAAAGAAAAATTTTCTCTGAGAGATGTTTTATTTTCTAACCATAAACATTTCCCCCCACTTGTTTAAGTTTTATTAAATAAAATGTTGGTTTCTCCTTCCCTTTGCAAATTAAATTCAGGAATAGCACCATGAGGTGGGAAGTGTGGCAGCTCTTTATCAGCCAATAAAAATGTAGAACTGGCAAACATACATAGCACTTTGTCTTCTGAATATGACTGTCTAACTACTATGCTGTACTGAAAGTGCTGTAATTGATATATGAAAACTTTTTAAAAGTCTTAAAAAGTCAAAATTTTAGGGGTGTGGGTAAAAAAAAAGTCAAATTTTACTATGTTGTGTGTCTAATGAAAACATCAGGATTAAATTTCATTTGCCAGTTTCTAAAAGTGTGCAATCCATTTTATGGGCACTTGGCAATTACAATGCCATCATGTAATTAACTAGAGTATGTTACTACCAATACTACTAGTAAATGGTTAAACATTGAAAGAGTCCTTACCTCTTGGCACACCATGGCCCCTGGGCACCCAGCATGCACTGCCCTGCTGCCCAAGAGGAAGCTCAGCTCTGCCAAGAGAGCAACAGAGGAGCTCAAAGGGAGATTGGAGAGGTTGTCGGCTAAACCTGCTTCTGCAAAAGTGGAAACGAAGCCAAAAAAGGCAGCAAGAAAAGGTAAATCTGCAGACAAAACAGTGTGTATCAAAAGGGAAAGGGAAGTAAAGGGGAAACAGGCCAAGTGACTAACCTACAGATCTACCTGCGGAAAACAAACTAAAAATGAGGCAAGTCCAGCCTCAGATGAAGCAGGGGAAAAAGAAGCCAAGAATGATGAACACCATCATATGCCATGTCTTAACAGTGGTCCCTGTCTCCCTTCTTATACATTAAAGAGGAATATTTTTGTCAACTATTCTGTAAATGCAAATTTTTTTAGTAGCCATAGAAACATTGATAGAGGGAATTCCACCTCACCTCATTTTGTGTGTGTGTGTGTGTGTGTGTGTGTGTGTGTAAATGCTTTTAAGAGGTGAAATCATTTGCTGGCTTATTTTTTGGTACAACCAGGAAATAGTGGGATACTGAATATAGTAGACTTTGATTGTCTTGGGTGCCAGCTTAACATTCCATAAACAGGGATAGTTTTTATATCTTACAGTACAAAGCATACCAAGTGGCAATTTGGAGTCAGTCGCGCATTTTCTAAGTCTTGAACATTTTAAATTACTTCTGTTCCCATATTGGTAGAATTGTTTCCTCAATTAAACTCCTTGATCTTGGCTCTGTCAGAATTTTGTGCATCTGTAACATCTTTGGTGTGATAGTCCAGTTTTACTAGTAACTTTGTTAATGTGCTGTGAAAGATCAAAATTTTGATGTAGTATATATATTAAATTGTGAATTAGTGGGACTTTGATGTAACAGCGTATCTACATTTGAAGATATTGGTAATTGATACTCTATTAAGAAAAATTAACCTCCAATTTTTAAACTGGAAAGTCACTAGAATAACTTTATAAATGAATCACAACTACAAGACTTCATTCTTGGTACATATGTTAAGAATTGTGTACAAATTGAAATGTCTGTGTACTTTTCCTCAAAACAACCAATTAAATCTCAATTATGAAAGAAAAAAAGAGAGCCCTTACAACTATCCTTTATGCCATATTATAAAGGTTTTGTCTTATTAAATGGTAAATGAAGTTTACTTTAATTCAACGTTTAAAAATAGAATTCAAAGGGTATCTCTGTTCACGTTGGCATGAAAGGAATCCTTCTCCCCCCTCCCTTATTCCTTTCCTTCAACCCCTTCTCCTGGAATGTCTAGAAAACTGCTACGTCACTATAAAAGAGCAGTGCTCTAATCCCCAGGCCCCATGCTTTTGCTGCTCAGTCAACAGCAGAACATACATAATTGTCTTAGGTAAACACACACACACACACACACACACACACACACACCCAAAACATGTTTATGTGTATGTAGGGGTGAGGGTAGGTGCAATGGAGGAAAAAGGAATATAGGTATATTAAGATATCATACTAACCATTGGAATTCCAAGAGCTCTTTCATCTACAATACTTTCCTGCAAAAGAACATAAATGGACATTCTACACAAATAATTCATTCAGTACAGTTTGATGTTTCCTCTCCTGTGTGTGTGGAGGAGGGGATTTTGTTTAAATTCGAGCTCTGTTTATGTATTTCAAAGTTTACATCTGTAAAGACACATGCATCGAGTCAATAATAGGCTCCAAAAATAAACCTGAGTTGTTCTGGACTCATTCAGAAAGGCAGAGGAACACTTCTGACCTTCTGGATCAGTAAGTGGTACTTTGCATTAAGTAGCCAAGGTCTGGGAAAGCCCGGCCTAGATCAAAGTGCTATAGAGGTTTTTTGGAGACATTATTAGTTGGGAAACACTGTCCTAGTTGGTAGGCACTTAAATCAGTAGCACACTGAGGTAACTGTTGAAACTGGTACATCAGAAGTAACTAGGGAGTGAACAAAATTAATTTTTGGGTCACACCAAAATAGCACTTGAATAACATCTTGGCACAGATTTTAGTACCTTTAGAGAATAACAATTAAAAAATATATACCAGGCAGATACTATAGGAAAAAATACTCAAGTACCTAGAATATGTGGAGACCCCAGTAGATGCCACATAGCACTTGACTCATGAAAGTGAACTGAAATGTGACTTCTTACAGGTTGTGTTATCTCACTTCAGATTAACTGCTGAACTGTACCAGCTTTAAGTGATTTCACACTCATGAAATTTATGTCTCTGATTGGTCAGCTTTACCTTGTTCTTTGACTTTTCTTTCTGCAGGAAGACTTCTGACATTTCGAAGTTACTAATTTTATAAGACTCATCTATTTTACCTGCTCTGCAAACTTTTCTATAAACAGCCAGATAGTAAGTATTTTAGGCTTTCTGACCCATATGGTCTCTGTTGTACCATTGTGGCACATAAATGAATACGAATGGCTGTGTCCCAATAAAAGTTTACTTGTGGACATGAAGTTGAATTTCATAAAATTTTCACATTATAAAATATTCTTTTTACTTTTTCTTTCAATCACTTAAAAATTTTAAAACCATGCTTAGCCTCATAGGCTTTAAAAAAACAAACAGCTTGCTAACTCCTATGCTAGGTTGGTCTTGAAAAAGCTAGCTATTGACAGACATTTCAAAGACATAAATAATGGCTGTACTACACACATATACTGGATTTGAATTCTAATACTAATATGAAGTTTTTGTCATACACCCACAACATTATTGAGATGATCACCACCACTAGTTTTTGGATGAAAGCATAGGTCATACATTTAAATACTGCTATTATGTTTTATTTTAACTTTTATTCTCACAGAGAACTGTGAAGCTAACAATAAGGTAAATTATTTAAATGCCTCTGATTACATAGTTACAACATTCTCATGCAGAGAATAAAAACAGTACTCAAAAGATTAACTATATTGGGAGATATCTCTTCTAATATAGAAAAGGAACATACCTTTTAAACAGGTAAATAAATGGGCAATTCCAAAAAATGCTTTTCACTCCTAAAAAAGTTACTTGGCTAAATCAAGCCTAACAACATTTCTTTCACCTAAATGCACAGATGTGATAAATCAGAGGAGTTTGGAAAATGTAAATAGAGCTCCTTCTTTAAAACTAGAAAATAACGCCGTGGCCGAGCCACTCATTTGGTTGGAGCATCCTGTACACCGCAAAGTCACTGGTTTGATGCCCAGTCTGGGCCCCTACAGGAGGCAACCATCTCTAAAAATCAATTTTAAAAAATCAAACGAACAGCAACAACAACAAAAAACTAAACACACCAGAAAATAGCAGCATCCTGGCGGTTTCTTTTGACACTAACACAATATTAAAAAATCAATCTTGCATCTTAGATTTACACATCCCTGCAGATACAATGGTAAGTAGCGGATCTGGTATTTAAAAAGTTAACAGAAATAAATGGGCCTTTTTTAGCTAACGAATACTTTAACACAGAACACAACAGTTGGATCACAATTAAGCATATGAACATATTTCTAGCTTTCCAGTTTCAGTAAGAATGTATAGAAAAATACATTTCTTCATGTAATAATTTTTTTTAAAAAGAAATCTCAATGATTCAAAATGAAAAGTATCTGGTTAAGTTCTCAAGTCTGGTGGTTGTAGTAAAATAGTCACATGACACAGTTTTATATGCTGCAAACATTTTAATGATTATTATTGAGCATACATTTTGGGAATTTTTTACTTCAAACTCCAACAAGTTAAATAAATGTTTATAATATACAAAGAAAATACAACCAAAAGTAAAATTCACTTTACGTGTGCCTGGCATCTAGACCAGTGTTTTCTAAATTTTTTCCCCTTGATATATCTTCATTTTTGAACTCACAGACACACTTAAGAATTTGATCTTTATAGTATGGCATATAGGAAATAAAAATATACTCCCACCTCAAGGAAATAAAAGGTTGTGCATGATTATATGCCAAACGAAGAGAAAACACTAGAATACTCTGATAGTGCAGGCATCATTAAAATGGGGAGAGAAAAAAAAGCTTGAATGCTCATTAACGCTCTATGTTTTAAGGTAGCAGGATTTTTGACCAAGTAGCTTAAAAGCCAGCAAAACAGGGATCAGTGATGGCAACTGTAGTGTTTGAAGTACGAAATGACAAACTTTACACAAATACACTGTTAGAAATTTACCAGTGAACACTGAAGATCTCAGAAGCTGCTCTTTGGAACAGTCAAGTAGGACCACCTTATTCCAGTCACATAAGCCCTTGCAGCAACACAGTGTTCTGTGCTATGTACTTGCTGGCTGGGTAGTTAAAGGATTTGTTTTGTCATTAGCAGCTAACAAACTTATTCCACGTTTTTAAAGCCTTAACGGTGGAAAAAAAGGCAAGTGTCATTAGCGTGGAGGATCATATACTTCTCTTCACACAAACACAAGAGGCTTCACTAGTATTTTAAAAGTCTCTGATGTCTCCCATTGCACTTCAAAGCTCAATTGAGATGAAAGCCTTTTTCCATTGTAGCAGCTAGAAGGCGCTCTCTCATGATTTCTTCCGAAGAATATTCCGGCAACTTTAGATAATGCACACATGTATTCACTGATGGATAGCTTGCATCAGTAGCATCAACCTACAGACAGAAAATTGAAAATAACAAAAGACCATGCTTTTGAATATTTTTCTTTCAATCCTTAAATAATTAACTGGATTCCCCATTAACTAGAGTTTGTACCTTGCGTACGACCGTGAGTCTGGGATGCAGGTTAGCCAGTCCACCTGGGGGCAGAGTTGAGCAACCAGTGGTAAACTGCAGGAATGCTTTCCTTTCATCTGAAGACATGCCACATAACACCCTCACAAACCTCAGGAAACCAGGGCTAAAGGGAGAAAAGTATAGTTATACTAATTTGAAAGCTGATTGAAATGAAAAACACTATCACTACTTTGTAAGCCAGCAATAACCCCCCAAAACAATATCCACAAAACAGCACTGACCAGAAACTCTTAGGTAAGTATGAGATGAAATGACACAAACTACTTTAAAAATATCCTTCAAGACTCTCTTGGACTCAGTAAGAACTGAAACAATGATGGAGTATAGGAATCAAACATATAATAAAGTCAGCAAATCAGAAAAGCTCAAAATACACTTGCAGAACTTATCCAAATATGCCTAAATTATCAAAGTGGATCTGAAATAATCCATTCTTGTTACACTGAAATAAACTACCACTATAGTAGACCAAAACATGGATGAATTTCATGATCATAATGTTAAACAAAAAGAAGACATACCTTAAAGAATATATATCTGCATGATTTCATTTATTAAAGTTCAAAAGCAAGCAAAATAAATCAACAGGAATAGTGATTGAATGACTAGAGAAGAATATGATAGAGAAGGGATTTCTGGAATTGTTTCTTATTCTGGGTGCCATTTCTAGAATTGTGTTTATTTTGTGAAAATTTTCCAGGCAATACATGCAATTTGTGCACTTCTGTTAACACTTCAATAAAACGTTTACTTTAAAAATGTTAGGTAAGCAATGTCATTTAGTTTTAAAAAATTCATAATATTCTCTCATTTACATTAGTTTGGAAGTTTTTTTAAAAAGTACTATAAGACTTTGCAGTCTTTAAAATGTCAGTGATATGAAAAAAATTAGTTGAGGAACTGTTCTAGATTAAAAACCTATCACAACAAAATGCAATTTCCTGGTACAGGAGGTACAGGGCTGATGGAGTGCTATTGAGTACATTACTCAAATATGGATGATAGATCAGTTAATAGTATAGCAGTACCATGAATTTGCTAGCTAACTGCATACATGGGAGAATATCCATATTCTCAGGAAATGTACACTAAAGTATTAAGGAGTGAAGAGACATGATATATGCAACATATTCTCCAATGGTTCAGAAAAAATAGTGCACCTGTGTGTCTATACATATACACAGGTTTACTATGCGTGTGTGTGTGTGTGTGTGTGTGTGTGTGTGTGTAAAGCAGAATATAAAGAAATACAGAAAAATCTTAAAGACAAGTGGGGAATTCTTTCAACTATTCTATAAGTCTGAAATTATTTGAAAATAAAAGTTAATATAAAAACAATAAAGCCTAAAGGTTTACATTTTACCCAATTTTTAAAATAATGAACAATTAAAACAGGGTGAGAAAAGGAATTTTAACATTAGGCAAGACTCTACTGTGTTTTTGTGTAAACTCATTCTTATTAATGGATATGCATCTTGGTAATGGTGAGTCTTAACTGCTTTTCTCACTTACTTTATAAATATAATTCAGAGTCAAAGTTCTTTAGAGATCATCTACCACATGATTTGGGAACATAAATACTTTTATTTTAGAAAACAACCAACACATACCTATCACGTGTATAACCCAACTTAGGCTCAGTATAATTGATAATATCCTCTGCTGCCCAGGATGGCGACTGGTTTCCACAAAGAATCATTTGGACTTCTTCATGGCTGAAGGAACTTAATTTCTCCATTGGAAAAACTTTATTAAATCCATCTACATTATGTACAAAGCAAACAAACAAAATGCACAATTCAGTTTCTAAACTATAATTTTAAAATACCAAATTTCAAATCAAATTATAAATAAATGTTTGAAAATATATATAAATTAAGATAGCTTGTCAAAACTGTGTTAGGATTAAAATATAAAAATCTCTGCTTAATTAATAATGTGAACAGAGAGAATATGCAGTCACTATGGTCAGTAACCAAATTCTAAAAATTTTCCATTGTGTCATACAAGACAACCAAAACTATATTCCCATTTTCAAAACCAGTAAGTTTTGAAAACAGTCTATATATATTTTGCTTTAATCTTCAACCAGAAGAATTTAATTCTAACATGGTTTAATTCATCCTGGTCCATATAATGTGGAAAGAATGCAACCTTATGGTCACTAACAAATGAAGAAATGGAGCCAATGGTGGGTCCCCATTACTCAGAAGGAGCAAGCTGAGGGTATACTACATCTTGCAAATGTTCCAACCTGTTCTAGGTCCTGTGCAGGACCTAACTATCTGGAAGACAAAAACTAGAGGTCATATCTGCAGATTACCAGCAATTCCTGACCACAGACATGCCTTAATTTCAACTCTCTCAAAGTAAAAGGAGAGGGATTAAGCTAGAGACTTAAAAATTACCTCTAAAGGCTTCCATCTGCTTCTGAATACCCGTATGCATACAAAAGTCAAATATCAAATCCACATATTCTTCTGCATTATCCATTGTTACCATCTGCAAAGGAAAATTTGCCAACATTATAGTTAATATCTAGGAAAATTTCAGTAGCGCCTAGTACAACTGGCTTCAGTAAAAGGATGATTCTGAACTTAAAACTGTATCAAGCCTGGCCTGTGGGATTCAGCTGCTGAGTGTCAACCCATGTACCAGGTTGCCGGTTCGATTCCCGATTAAGGCCTATGACCAGGTTGCAGACTCAATACACAGCAGGGAGTGTGCAGAAGGCAGCCAACCGATGTTTCTCCTCATCGATATTTCGATCTCTCCCTCTCCCTTCCTTTCTCTCTAAAATAAATAAATACGCCCAGCCAATGTTGCTCAGTGGTTGAGTGTCGATCTATGAACCAGGGGGTAATGGTTTGAGTCCAGGTTAGGGCACATGCCCGGTTGCAGGCTGATCCCGTGTAGGGCGTGCAGTAGGCAACTGATCAATGAATGATTCTCTTTCATCACTGATGTTTCTCTCTCTCTCTCTCACTCTCTCTTCCTCTCTGAAATCAATAAAAACGTGTTTGAAAAAAAATAAGTAAAAACATATCCTCAGCTGGATTTTAAAAAAGTATCAAAAGCAAAATTTTTACCTCATCTTCACCACTTGGCTTGAGATCCACAGCTGTAAAACCATATATTCTTGAGGAAGGGCAAAACTGGAAATTTAAACTGGAAGGACAAATAAGGATTAAATTAACACGTGTCTACCGCTGGTATTTAATTTTTATAACACCGCTGCCAAAACTCTGAACCCCAACTTCTCAAGCAACGTCACTGTACTTAGCTTAGATATTAAGTATATAGCACTCATAAATGCAAACCCTGTACACAAAAACTATTAGGACAAACCTGTTCCCAAACCTGGCTTTGAAAAGACTGCATAAAACCACCACCTTTCCATATTTCATTTTCCCCATATGGCACAAAATGAATGAACTAAACATTTTTGCAGTGAATTATGACATGTTTATAAGATTTTTTAATTGTTCTTTTGCAGGAAGGAACTATTGCTTCACTGATGTTATTCATGCTGTGCCACCCACCATTAAACCCTGAATATAAGGGAGGGAGGAAAAGCAAGCCTTATAGTCAACCCAAAATCATAGTAAAATATACCGAGGCTAGAATAATTATATATATACTAGAGGTTCAGTGCACGAAAATTCGTGCACTGGGGGCAGGGGTCCCTCAGCCTGGCCTGACCCCTCTCACAGTCCAGGAGCCCTCAGGGGATGTACTACTGATGGCTTCCCTCTGTGGGAAGCAACCGGGCCAATAAGGGGAAGGCACCACCCCCATCACCCAGCTGCTGCTACCACTGCCAGCCCTGACAGCCACGGTGGCTGCCGGCCCTCCTTGGCCCTCGCAGCAGCTGCCGCTTTGTCCAGAAGGATGTCCAGAAGACATCCGGTCTATCTAGTCTAATTAGCATATTATCCTTTTATTAGTATAGATATAAAATAATAGAATTTTATCAAAAGACCTGCAGCATGTGAGTTAGTTAATGCAGCCACTGGGGATAAGGCTTACTCACAAAGCAAGCTACTTTGAGCTTTGCCAAGTAGGCTATTTATTAATTAGCTAATAAATTTGTCAAAATATTTTTGGCTTTGGACTTTTTTCACAGAAGATACATACATTTATCACATTTGACAAATCAGATAATCTTTCAGAGGTCTATTGATATAGCAAATCGAAGGTTCAAATCAATAATCAATATTTCCTATAGCATATTATTGTTCTTAACAGGCTTACTCATATATTGTAAATTAGTGGGACAAAAAAAACAAAAGCTTTAGAACTTAGGTTGAAGAATGTTTATATAAAGCTTACCCTAAATCCTCTATACTAAGTGGAGGCCCAGATCCTGATGGATTTTTCAGCACTAATTCCTGTAATTTTGTGTTCTTCTCATCTTCCGAAAGAGCTTTGTTGCTTAAAATCTGGCGCCTCTTGATAGCAAGGTCTTTAATTTCTTTTAAAAATCTGGCTCTGTGTGGGTTTACTAGTTCAAAGTCTTCCCAAGTTAAAATTCCATTAAACCAAGCTGGAGGTTTGGGTTTGGGAGGATCCAGAATAAACTCTGATTTTGAATCCTCTTCAAAGCTTCCTACAGAGAGTGAATCATGACCTTCTTCTGTAGAAGCTTCAGACTGACTCTCAGTACAATGTAAGTCTCGATCACCTCGTGACTCATAAATGAGTTTACTGATATTGCTTTTAATGTCACCCATACACATAAGTTTAAAGAAAGGTTTGGAAATAGGTAAGTCCACAAGTCTGTTGTCTTGAATGCATTTGGCCAAGAAAATTCCAAGGAAATGAAAGAGTTTTGTGATCCTTTCAAGTTCATCACTATCTTGTGGAAATGGTGCCGTGAACAGTCCACATGATCTCTGCACATAGTATCCAGGAGGTTTCAACCCACCTCCAAGATCAACCTAATTTTTTAGAGGGAGAAATGTAAATAAAATTAAAGATCTATAAATAGTAAACATCTTCAATTTAGCTATCTAAAAGTATATATACATTTTATTAAATTATTTTTTGTGACTAAATATTATCCTTTAAAAACATTTAGTAATAGCAAGATTATTGAATAACTAAAGGACTGGTGCATGAAATTCGTGCATGGGGGGGGGGAGGGGGGGAGTGTCCCTTCAGCCGAGCCTGCACCCTCTCCAATCCCGGACATCCCCCTCACAATCCTGGACCGCTGGCTCCTAATCGCTCACCTGCCTGCCTGCCTGGTCACCCCTAACTGCCTCCCTCCCCCACCACGCTGGCCTGGTCACCCCCAACTGCCTCCCCTCTGCCGGCCTGGTCACTGCCAACCTCCTCTTCCCCCCCCCCCCGCCCCGCTGGCCTGGTCTTTCCAACTGACCCCGGCCAGCCTGGTCGACCCTCACAGCCCCCCCTCCAGCCTGGTCGCCCCACGCAGCCTGCTGTTCATTCATTTGGTCATCTCTCACTAACCCCCTACCAGCCTGGTCATAGGCAGCCATCTTGTGAGGGCGTGAGGGTCAATTTGCATATTACCGCTTTATTATATATAGGATAAATTAAGATTCAAAAACCCAGCATTTGTTAACACTTTCTAAAAGCAAAATCACAAATCAAATCAAAAAATGAAATAAATCTTACCTGGCGAGATTCATCATCTGGAAAGTTATCATCACAGAGCCAAGTTCCCAAGTCAGTTCTCTGGAATTCTGCTGCCACCAGAGCATAAAACTCTAATGTGGGTCCCAAGCCAGTTCCTTCTTCTCCTAAAAATTCAACCTAAAATATGAACCAAAAAAATAGGGAGAAGTGAGCTTAAATGATCCCATTCTTGCCAAAATTAGTCATTTCCAATCCAGTAATATACCTGTTTTATAGCAGCAGTATAATATAAGCAACACGGAAGTTTTTTTCATGTTTATTGTACACTATTACATTTAAATACTATGGTGAGCATTCATAAATTTACTTCTCTCAACAACCCTACAAAATAGATTGCAGTAATTTCTCTCTATTCCTGGGGGAATATGTTCCAAGATCCCCAGTGGGTGCCTAAAACCATGAATAGTACCAAACCCTATATATACTATACTTTTTTCTATATATAACTTACCTATGAAAAGTTTAATTTGTAAGCACAATAAGAGATTAAACAGTAATAAAACAATATACTATAATAAAAGTTATGTGAATGTGTCTCTCTCAAGAGACAGTTTCTAAGTGACTAACAGACAGGTAGCCTATACAGCATGGATACACCAAACAACGGGATGATTCACAGACAGCATAATATTGCATCAAGTTCAGAATGAGGGCAATTTAAGTTATAAATTGTTTATTTCTGAAATTTTCCATTTGTTAATGTCGGACTGCTATTGACCGAGGGTAACTGAAACCATGGAAAGTGAAACCTTGGATATGGGTGGACTACTATATCATCTCCTTTTTCAAAGAAGGAAACCAAATTTCAGATAAAGAGATTACTAGTAAATCATTTGCTCGAGGAAATGATGGTATACAGATTTGTATGTGTCTATCTAACACCAAAACCTAAACTTTTCCACTTATTTCTGACTTTAGGCAATCACTTTAAAGGTTTTATCCATACTCTACCTGTTCAAAAATGCTTTATTTTAAGGCAGCCTTCAAAAACACACAGTGCAAAGTAAAACTAAATAAATAAGGTTAGAGGAATATAATGATAGAAAGTATAAGCCTTATATATTTTCTAGAGATATATTTGCTGTGATCAGTCTGTGATCCAAAAGATAAACCAGCAAATCTGCTGACAGGAGAGATATTTCTTCCATTATCCCTCATAAAATAAATAATATGTATGTAACATATAATCAACAATGCCCACAACAGCATCTCAATCGTAAATGTATTGAACTTCATACTGCCATTTATTATAACATCTCTAAATATAGACCAATTTTATAGTACCAAGCACAATTTAAGTGAAACAATATTATAAAACAATGTGCTCTAGAAATAGAGATATATATCTAATAGCATAGCTTAATATAAAGGTAACATTTAGGTATAAAAAAGAATCCTTTGCGAGTACTATTATTTGGTCCAGGTTTTGTTAATAAATAGATGAAGCACCTCCCCATCTCAAGAGTGAAGATCTCTGTTGCTTGTTAAATCACAAGATCCTGACCCCTAAGGTGAGCTGACATCCTCTTATGAAAGATGCTCTGCCAGAGGAGGCCTTTGGAGAAAGGCGAGAGAAATTCCTCTTTAATTCTATCCAACCAGAACAGACTGGCTGGTTCTGTTACCTCAAGAACTGATTTCCGGTCTGCATGTATTTGCATAACGTTCTCAGCCCATTCCATCAGCGATTCACCACGTGGAACTTTTACTCTCTCATGCTTGAGACGACCAACTCGAAACTCTCCAGGATCATCTCGCCTTACACTACTTGTGGTCCTTGTTCTTTCCACAGTGGCTTCACGTCGGTTTTGTAACCACACTATTGCTCTGAAATAGAAAAAAAATCTATGTAACTGCAACATACAGCAACAGCTGAATGTACAACTAAACCAGTACATAAAACTACAAACAAACATTTCCTAACTATCAGTCCGTTGAGACCTTGCTTCCAAGTGTGAACAGAAATCATATTACTCTGTTTAACTCAAATGCACTCTAATAAACTCTTATTTTAAAAAAATGGTAGTCTGATTTCAAAACATTTTCTTTTTAATGCACAGCAAACCCATCTAAGGTGGGAGAAAGAATCTTAAGCTAAGAATAAGATGAAAGATCCACTGTCATGTGTGTTATGACTTTTTTGGCAATCACAGGCAACTCAGGTAAGTACTTTGGAGAATCAATTTCCTCATCTATAAAACAGAAATCATAAATAATGCCATTTATCGCACTAGGTCTGTAGTTCTGTGTGTACAAATGCTTTGTAAATGGTATAAAATGATACAATTTAACTTATTAGGAAAACAAATAACTTCATTTGAAATTATAACTTTTTACATCCACTTTGAATAAGACAGCTACAACTTCCTACCCTCATGAAACTAGCACAGGGAGAGAGAAAAACAAAAATATTTAAGTAAAATATGTATTATATTAGATGGCCAGAAGGTAAATATATTCCAATGCTACCAAAGCTATTTGCAAGCATTTAATTTTGTATTTCTGGGAATTTCAGCAACTAATAATTATATACGCTACTTAAGAACTGTACAGTAAATGCTACCTGACAGAACACATTATGGTTGGCCCTCTGTATCCACGGATGCAGAACCCACAGATACAGAGTGCTAAGAGACGAGCACCCATGGATTTTAGTTTCCCCAGGGGTCCTGGAACCAATCTCCCATGGATACCAAGGGATGACGGTATTCCCAACCCACACTATTCCAAGAGATCAATTCATACCACTCCAAGATAGTATATATCCAACTAGAAACACAGTAACATTTAAATGTTGACAACTCTTTTAAGAAAAAAAACAAGATAATATATTCCCTTCATTAGTCTTGATATAAAGTATATTAGTACATTCTGAGCTTACTTAACATTAAAAAAATATTCTGAAAATATAAAAGGATACACTTCTTACCTTGACGCACCAAATGCAGTACATGTAAAATAAAGTTGTCTAGTGTCAAATGGTATTAGAAAAGGACACTTGCTGGTTAATTGTTCACACCAATCTGGCAGAGCCCCACTTGCCAATGCCAATGGTTCCTGCAAGTTAACAAAAAACAATATCTTAGGGTAATTATTTAAAAAGACAAAAGGAAGTCAATTTTTCTTAAATATGTTTTTTATTTATTTTGGAGAGGAAGGGCGCGAAATAGAGATAGAAACACAGGTGAGAGGGAAACATCAATCACCTGCCTCCTGCATGCCCCCTACTGGGGATGGTGCCCGCAACCCGGGCAATGTGCCCTGACCAGGAAACGAACCAGTGATCTCTCCTTTCATAGGTGAATGCTCAACCACTGAACCATACCAACTGGGCAGGAGTCAATTCTTATGTGTAATTAAAGAAATTAATGCAATAGAGCATGTGACCCAAACTATTGGATCAGAGGGAAGGGAGAGATGGTAGGAAGTCTAGTAAAGGAATAAGAGGCAATACTTTGAAAGTCCAATGATGACAGATTGAAGAGTTTAATAACTATCTGTTATTATTACCTCAATCTGCTGCAAAATTTTTGTTGTGATTTTTTTGCTAGTGAATTCATCTGGTGGGAAAGTAAACTGAGGCTGCTCATCACCTTCTGTAAAATCAATAAAATTAATAAAGTCAATAAAATATAAACGGACTTGCTTTTAAAAATGCCACAGAAATAAAACAAGGCTCTTACAAACCTTCTTGGGATATTCTTGAATAAGGGTCACTTGCAACTATATACAGAATACGCAGCAGCTGAAGGACATCTTCTACTCCACAAGAGTTCTGTCCATTCCCTGCTTTGGCCTGAGGTTGTTCTTTTGTCAAATTAAGAATATCACTACTTTGAAGAGTAGAAATGGCCCCCTGGTTTAAGCCAGACTTTGTTCCATGCTCACAAAAATCCTGAGGAAACAATTAGCAAAATTAGCTATTAATCATATTTTTAAGAAAAGCAATATATCATCCCATTAGCATTACTTTGAAAAGTCTAGAATTTTTCAAAGAATTGCCTTCTTTATAAATAAAACCAGTGTTACTAAAATAGAAAATTAATGTGTTCTAAACCATTAAATTCCCAAATAAAATAAAAATACTATAAAGCCAGTTAAAACTACGCACTTAGATTACAATATCATAAACCATATTTGAAGTTTTAGCATTGTCATATTGTTAATCCAACTTCCTTTTTTTTAGTATGTTCCAATAAACCTCCCTCCTTAAGAATCCTTAAAAGTTGCAAAACAAAGCACAAAGCCATTCCCAACCCAAACAGTGTTTTGATGCCAATATATACCTTATATGCAGCTATGAGCTGAGAACAATTTCTGTTTTTCCTAATACTTTTATTAGTGCCAGTTAATTTCCAGTGGCGCAGGAAAGCAGCATCTGCATTCTTCTGCAGGTAGGTTATCAAGTCATTCTTTGGTAATTCATCAGTGCCAAGGTACTGTTCCACATGCTCTATAGACCAACAACCCTACAATGGGAAAAACCAAATGTTGGCCTTTCCTGATTATAAAGTCTATGCTATTTCACATGCATTATCGAAGTTAACTTAAGATCATGCATTTAACCTAATTTAAAGGATTCCATGTTACTAATTTTTCCCTCAAATGTTCAGTTGAACAGTGTTAGTTTTCTTTTTCTTTAAATAGCCAATAAGACCCATTTTCTAAAAGTAACTTACCATTTTTTCCTTTTCCTTTTCCTTGTCAGAATCCTTCATTTCTCTGTACATGATTCTAAACATGAAGATATTATTCAAGTTAATTCATACATCAAATGATTTGTGGTTATTTCCAGTAATACTTGAGTTTTTCAGAAAATATATGAATGCTGCCATATGCTTACATTAAACATTGAACTCAGGGAGAACTTATGAGAAAAAAATGTTAATTTGTTAAATAGTGGAAAGTAACAGAAATCATATTCCTGAAAAAGAGTTATGGTTTATAAATTTAGCATTATTGCAGAGAAAACATACAATAAACCTGGAATATTTAAAAATATGAAGTAACATGTAACGCACTTGAGATAAAAACTGAATGTGGGGGAGGAGGTCGGAATTTGGCATGACGACCTTCTATTCTAACTCAAAGGACCTAGATTACTTTATTGGACATTAGATAAGATTATCAATGTTAAGAGAACAACAGAAAAATATACCAACAAAAGTAAAGTCAAATAAGAATTATATAATTACTTATTACTTATATAATACAAATATGTAGTAATATAACATAAAATATGTATATATTAATGATACAGTATAAAATGTTTTAATATAAGTAATAAATTACTATTATAGGTAATACTGAGTATTTTCCACATCACAGATTACTGAAACACTTTACATATATTAATTCATTGATTCCTCGTAAGCACTCTCACTTTATAAGATTAGGAAACTGAGGTACTAAAATGTTGTTAAACACACTGGCCCAAGTTCATTGATAATCATTTGTTGAATGAATGAATGAACAAAGATAGGTGGTAAACTTAACTCCCAGACCGCAAAACAAATAACAAATAACAAATATTTAGTATTTCATACACAATCCCAGTTAGAGGTCAACAATCTATTCTATATATATAAAAGCCTAGTATGTAAAGTGTCCCCTTGGGAGTTCGACCGACCGGGAGTTCGATCACTCACTATGACATAAGCTGACCATAAGGGGGTGGCACGGAATGAAGGAAGGCCCCGGCCGGCAGCCAGCAGCCACTAGGGACCCTATCCATGCACAAATTTCGTGCACTGGGCCTCTAGTTATTACATAAGGCACTAGTTTTGATTATTTCTAAAGTTCCTTTCAGTTGTGAACCTTAACCTTTCTACATCAGGAATCAAAAATGATCTTATATGTTCCTATAAACCAACAGACCAAAACCAAATCTTTTCTGTTCCTATAGTCCAAACATAGAAATACAATGCTTCTTGGCTTATATATTAAGAAAATATATACCTAAAAAATTAAATTAAAATCTCTTACGTGTATGTTGGCTCCCAAATACGCCTAAGTTTATCTGATTTCACATTGCCATTACAGGATAATTGAAGCAATTTTTGTACATAGTAAAAGATGGTTGATCTAAAATTGGTGAGGGGTAATTCAACCTCTCGAGTTGTTCCAAGACCTGTTACTTTCAAAGTGAGGGCTAATCGAGGTGATGGAGTACATTCTACTTCTTCCAAGAGTTCTGAATGAGGTGTTCCTAAAAGTATGAAAAGACATGAAAATCAATTACAGTACACTAAGACTCTGCACTAGGAGACAAGGCTATGTGAAATCTAAACCCTTCTGCCATATATATTGACTAACAATATCAGTTACTAAAGGCTCTACTGGCCTCAACATTTTCTCTTTTTTTCAAACAGGAATAATAGGTTACTTAAAGACAGAGAATACAGAGTAAAACTTATGCATATGAAACGAATCTCTCATTTTTATTAGGAAATATATGTTAACTATATGAATATTTTAAAGACATTTTACTTTTATAAATAAAAAAACTAAAATTATTGATATTTCTACATCCAGAGAAAAACCACATACTTTGGCTAATAACCTTTTGCTTATACTGAATGAGTGGGTTGTGAGGATGGACACACACACACACACACACACACACACGCACAAATAGTGTATTTGGTGGTGTATTCTCTTTTTTACTAGGACAGGAATCATTTCCTCATATCGTTAGATAAGGTATTATATTCACTGTATGACATCCCATTGTATCTTTAGTCAAATCCCCTTCTGACTCTGACCCTCCTGACTCCCTCTTATTAGGACACTGGTCTCAACCAGATAATCCAGGATAGTCTCCCCATTTCAAAATCTTTATTTAATCATATCTGCAAAATCTCTCTCGTCACATTAGGGTAACATCTTCTCAGATTCTGGAGGTTAGGATCTATACAATCTTTGGGGGGCCATTAGTGTATCTACCACATGCAAAATAGAGTTGCAAGAAATAAAGTTGCCACTGAGGCTGACTGACTCCGGAGGATCTAACTGAAACCTCGATATAGTTTTTCAAAGAAAAAAATGAAAAGGAATAATCCTTAGCAATTTTGATCCATTACAAAATAAAATACAAAGTATCCATCTTTAAATGAAGCCTTGCTTTTAAAATTACATAAGTACAAAACAGTGTTTTAAAAAGACTGTATCTTTTCCTTTTAAAAAATCTATTTTTTAAGGACTTGTGGCTGATATACAGTTTTTTCTTGAAAACTATTATTTATAACCTGTATATTAATTTTCTAATTGTGTATAATTACTTTGTTACTTATTAAAAATTAACTCACAAAAACTAAAATATACCGTACCTGGAGGTGGAATTTCTAGATCAGTTGTCTGTTGGACATTAGTACGACCCGGTCTAGGATCAAAAGCAGGAACCAAAGCAGAAAACTGCCGCTTTAGCACATAATCATCATCCCATGTCCTCCGGCGTCCTCCTTTAGTTTCATACTCTTCTTCTTCCTATAAAAATAAAATTTCTGCCTGGTCAGTATGGCTCAGTGGTTGAACATCAGCCCATGAACCAGAACAGGAGGTCACGGTTTGATTCTCAAACAGGGCACTTTTCTAGGTTGCAGGCTCGATACCCAGTAAGGGGCATGCAGGAGGCAGCCAATTGATGTTTCTCTCTCATCAATGTTTCTATCTCTCTATTCCTCTCCCTTCCTCTCTCTAAAAAATCAATAAAAATGTATTTTAAAAAATAAGTAAATAAAAATAAAATTCACAAATATTATAAAACTTCAGTATTGCCAAAGTGATGTGCTATCTATAAAGTAAGGTATATGGCCCTAGCTGGTTTGGCTCTGCAGATAGAGTGTTGGCCTGCGGACTGAAGGGTCCCCAGTTCGATTCCAGCCAAGGGCATATGTTCGGGTTACGGGCTCGATCCCCAGTGGGGGGCATGCAGGAAGCAGCCGATCAATGATTCTCTCTCATCAATGATGTTTCTATCTCTCTCTCCCTCTCCCTTCCTCTCTGAAATCAATTAAATTAAAAATAAAATAAGGTATATGTTTAAGTTCTTCTCTATAGCTATTACACTCCTTAGTTAGCCATATTTCTTAAGCACAAAATGAGCCTACACAGACATATATAGGTAGTACATACAGTTCTTAACAATTTAAGTTTATCAAAAGTAAGTTGCATTAGTGGTGGTTACAGAAATCTACATGCGATGAAATGACAATGAACCATATACATACATTGTACCAATGTCAATTTCTTGGTTTTCAAGTTGTACTCTAATTGGGTAAAGTGCACATAACACCTCTCTAAACTATCTGTGCATCTTCCAGTGAACCTATATTTATTTTTAAATAGGTGCTTTATTAAAAAATGTAAATTGTATTACATATTGAATTAGGTAAAAAAATACTATAATGCTTGGGAGTTGCTTTAAATTACTATGGGGCAAATCAAACATTTTGACAAAGCATTGATAACTGTTGAAGTCAAATGATGGGTCTTTGGGGCATCGTCATACTATTAGATTTCCTGCATATTTTAAATTTTCCATAATAAAAGCTATTTAATGAACACTGTCTCTTCTCCTTCACTTTTAATATCAACAAAAGAGAGATCAATGAACTGTAAATGTTGTAAATGTCTGTTGTAATAATTTTAATAATAATTATGTATGTAGTTGCACACACACATAGCCCCTTATATTTTGAACATATAATCGAAATTAACTTTTATAAAACAAATCAAACTGACATTTGACAGCTCTAGAGCCAGAATGTCTGAGTTTTCATCCTGGATCCAACACTTCTATGTGTGACCTTTAAAATCATCCTCTGAAGATTAGGACTAAAAGTAACTGTCAAACGGTTGTTGAAAGGACTGAAAATGTCTAGCACTCAATTAATAATCGGTAAATGTTAACAGACTAATATTACTACCTCTACTACTACTATGAAAACTAAGTCTTAAATAATAGCTATTAACTATTTTAGTATGTTTAAATAAAGGAGAAGGGTAAGAGAGTTTCAGGTAACAAGCCCCTATATGCATTATATCAGAGCAATCTGGACTCTATTTGGAACTTTATTGTTGAAAGTATTACATAGGTCCTCCTTTTCCTCCCCATTAACCTCTTTTAGCCCTCTCCCATCCTCCCCCGGGAAGTTTCTTTTTGTTAATTCCATTTTTTAACTCTCTCTCCTTTCCCTGTTTATTTTTCTAGACATTTTGGTTGATCCTTTACTGTGAAAGGGGAAAAAATACATCGTGGGGATGATAAACATGAAGATATTACCTGCTCCCCAATAGGTCGGCTCCCACCTCCAGCAGGAACCTGTGGTAGCTGTGAAGTGACAGCATGGTGCGTTACATCAGAGCGAGAGCCGGCTCGTCGCTGCAGGGATGGACGTCTCAGAATCTGATTTTTAAAAATATGTAGAGACATCTAATTATTTGATCCATATATATCCTTATTCAGCCTTGACTTGAAACTATCAACTCATATTATCAAAACTGTCATTAAAAACTTCATATTCATTAGCCATCTTCATAAAAGTTATAAAATGAATGTTTTAAATTCATCATGCATCATATATTAACGCCACAAGAAATATGCTGGCATACTGTTTCCCAAGCAACATACTAAAAGCATTTAAGTTCTTCACCCCATTAAAACTCAACTTATACCCTGGCCAGTGTTGTGTTGTGGTTAGAGCATCATCCCATGCACCGAAGGGTCTCAGGTTCAAATTCCAGGTCAGAGCATGTACCTGGGTTGCAGGTTTGCTTCCCGACCCCGTTGGGATGCATGTGGGAGGCAACCAATCGATGTATCTCTCACATCGATGTGTCTCTCTCCCTCCTCCCCACCTTTTCTCCCTTACACTCTCTCTAAAAATCAATGAAAAAAATATCTTTGGGTGAAGAGTAACCAAAAACACAACAAAAAACCCAAACACCACAACTTATGAAGCTTTTCAAAATCTAGTAACATTTCATTTTTAAAAAATAAAAAATATATACATTTAAATAAAGAGTATTTTCAGTCAAGAGTTCAATTCAAAGACTATCACAGTGGTTAAACACTGGGATTCTGGATCATACTGCAATGGCAAGTCACAGCTAAACTGGCAACACTTTTTCCACTTAACTCTTATTAATTAGGGTAAATTACTTCTTCTATGCCTATACTTCATAGCTCTGTATAAGGACTGATGAGAACAGATACTGCTTTCAAAACAGTAGACCCTGGGGTGAGGGTAGGGGGGTAAGAGATCAACCAAAGGACTTGTATGCATGCATACAGGCATGGTTAATGGACACAGATACTAGGGGGGTGAGGACATGTGCTGGGGGGTGAGAGTGGCCGGAGAGAGGTCAATGGGGGAAAAAAGAGACATATGTAATACTTTAAACAATAAAGAATTTAAAAAAACAAAAAACAGTAGACACTAAAAAATTCTATGTATAAATATTGCAGATGAACCATGAAAATTGTATTCTTTACGATTAGTGTTTTAAATCTGTTAAAATATGTGATATTGTAGTATTTTTCAAATATAAATAACCAACTTGTTTAGATACACAAATATTTGTCATTGTGTTACAACTGCCTTTTAGAAGAGAATCATAAATGCTCATATTAACAGCATTTTTCATAATTAACCACATTTTTCGTACTGGTACCATATTTCCTTGCTTCAAAGTTTAACCAGGACTTTGCTTTTTCTCTATTCGTTTCAATTATTAATATTTTATCTTAGTTAAGAGAATAGGGGACTCTCTCTACCATAACCTCCTCGTATTCCTGGTCCTCCTGATTGTCATCTTCATTTTCATCATCTTCCTCATCTGGCTCAGGCAAGTCCTCATCATCATCTAGCTCAGCTAACAGGGTACTGGCACGGCAGCTATCAAGAAAATCTAGAAAACAAAACCAACAACCTTACTCTCAACACAATTAACAAAGCCTAACAAAAAATCAACATGGGATAAAGAATGATCATAAACTAAATCCAAATCTACAAAACCATAATATAAAAGGTCAACAATATGGACTATGATAAAATATAACAATCATATTATCAATCTCTGCATAAGTCACAGTTAGCATAACATGTCAACAAATATCTACAGAGTACCTACAATGGGTCAAGAATTGTGTTAAGCACGAGATATATATACAGTTATGAGCCACATAGTTAAATTCAATATTTTCTGATGACATAATGATATAATTTTTCATATAGTACGTGAATAATGTTTCTTGGTGATTGGGATTGGGGTGGGCAGTTTTTATGGCTTTAGTCATTGAAACAGTTGTAATGAGTTTTATTTGGAGCTTTTTAAAAAAATACACATAAAGATGTTCATGCCTTCATTTCCAGTTGTAAATGTACTGGGCCATCCCAAAGATATTTCCAGATGCTAGACTTTGGAAGGAACATAGCCTGTTCACTTACATGCTCATGTTGTCGCTTACACGTGTATACTCTTTCTCTCTGTGATATATATATAAATAAAATAAATAAATAACTTCTATAGCTATACAGTCAAGTGCTGCATAATGTTTTGGTACAGTCAAGTGCTGCATAATGTTTTGGTCAACGACAGACCACATATTCAATGGTGGTTCATTAAGATTATAATGGAGCCCAGACACTGTGGCTCAATGGTTGAGCATTGACCTATGAACCAGGAGGTCATGGTTTGACTCCTGGTCAGGGCACATGCCCAGGTTGCAGGCTCGATCTCCAGTGTAAGGCGTGCAGGAGGTAGCTGATCAACGACTCTCTCTCATCATTGATATTTCTGTCTCTCTCTCCCTCTCCATTCCTCTCTGAAATCAATAAAAATATATATTTTTTAAAAAGATTATAATGGAACTGAAATATGCCTATCTCAACTGCCGTGTCATAGCACAATGCAGTACTCATGTGTTTGTGGTGATGCTGGTATAAACAAGTCTACTGCATTGCCAATATAACACATACAATTAGGGATAGTACATAATGCTTCATAATGAAAATAAATGAGTATGTTACTGGTTTATGTATATACTCACCATATGCTTTTTATTATTATTGTAGAGTGTAATCTTTCTACTTACAAAAAAAAAGTTTGCAGTAAAACACTGTGCCATGTTACACCAGCAGCAGCCTCATATATCTCATGTTTAACACATCTCTTGATTGATCATTTTCTCTTGTGCTCGATTTAACTCGTGTTTTATGAATTCAGTATAACCTAAGTGTACAGTGTTTATAAAGTATACAATAGCGTAAATAATGTCATAGGCCTTTACATTCACGCATTCACTCACCACTCACTCAATGACTCAGCCAGAACAATTTCTAGTCCTGCAAGTTCCATTCAAGTGCTCTATGCAAGTGTACCATTTTAAAAATCATTTGTACCATATTTTTACTATACATTTTCTACATTTACATGTTTAGATACACAAATATTTTTCATTGTGTTACAACTGCCTACAGTATTCAGTACAGTAACATCTGTACAGGTTTGTAACCTGGAGCAATAGGATATACCATACAGCCTAGGTGTTTAGGAGGCTATAGACCAGTGATGGCAAACCTTTTGAGCTCGGCGTGTCAGCATTTTGAAAAACCCTAACTTAACTCTGGTGCCATGTCACATATAGAAATTTTTTGATATTTGCAACCATAGTAAAACAAATATTTATATTTTTGATATTTATTTTATATATTTAAATGCCATTTAACAAAGAAAAATCAACCAAAAAAATGAGTTCGCGTGTCACCTCTGACACGCGTGTCATAGGTTCGCCATCACTGCTATAGACCATCTAATTTTGTGTAAGTACACTGTCATGATTGTACAAGGATGAAATGCTTAATAATGCATTTCTCAGAATGTATCCCAGTTAAGTAGTACATGACTACTGTTGTAAACAGAATAGACAAGATTTGAGCCCCCTGGAACTACAGGGGAAACAGACATTTAAAAAGTATACAAATGAATATATTAATATGAACTATAAAAGATCTTATGAGGGAAAAGAACAAGGTAAGTCAATCAGAGAGATCTTAGCTATGTGACCTGGCAAGTTACTTAATGACAATTACTACTTAAGGATTATACACTATATTCCGAAAGAACATACAAAAGAGAATTTATAATTATTTAGTAGATACGTACATCTGCAGACCTCTGAACCAAATATATTTTAAGCCTAATAATTATATAAAACTAAAAATTTAATGCCTTTCACTGAATGACTAGAAGAAAGAGGCCTGATACTATATTCAACTAGTTTCTAAGATACACAGTTTTTAGCACTTTAATATTCTGAAATCAGAATGCATGTTACAAGCAATGGCAAGTCACAGCTAAACTGGCAACACTTTTTCCCTTAGTGACATAAAATAATGGTGTCTCTTATAACAATGGCATCTTAAATTTGATGAAATATATTACCCCTAACACATATGTTACCCCTACAATTTAGGCAGTGGTTCTCATAAACATGATGAGATAGCAGTATACATAATTACATAATAAATCATTTCCACTTTTGGTTCATTTTTAAAGGAAAATCATCTAACTTTATATATATATATACATACATACATACACACACACACACACATACATATGTGTTTGTGTTACAATTCACTGAAGTCAGATTTTTTTAAGTCATCTACCCTTTTTTATCAGAGTATAAGAATGTTTTAAAAAGCTCCATAAATTTCATAGATTTGACCATCACAGAATCAAATTATGGTCCTCAAAGTGTAAAAAGTAAACATTTGTATATACAGAAATTATTTTATAAGACAGATATTACTGTGAGCCTTCATAGCAGCACTTTTATAGTCCTCTAGTTTTTGGAATATAGAAAAGGAAATTTTAATCATCTAACAATTTTTAAAAGGCAACAAGGAGCCCTAACTCTTTAATATTCTCTCCCATTAGCATACCCACAACCTTCTCAACCTTCAAATAATAATGAATTAAAGCCTGACTTTAACACATTAAGAAATAGTTTTTCTCCGTGAGAAAAACTGAAGTGGAAAATAGCTTTTCAATAAATGTACAATACTTGGAAATAATAATAATCATCTTCATTTGCTACCTACACATTTAAAAGATAAAGTAAAAAAGAGAAATGTAATGTTTTTCCTAAAACCATACATCAGAACCAATTCTTAGCTTGGAATAGGAGGCCACATTTTCAGAAAGAAAGAAAACATTATAATGAGATACATAAAATAATACTTAAAATATTATCTTTATATACATTTTCTTATATTTGAAATTAATAACAGTAATTTTTTTTAAACATACTTTTTTACTGATTTCAGAGAAGGAGAGGAAGAGAAATAGAAACATTAATGATGAGAAAGAATCATTGATCAGCTGCCTTCTGCATGCCCCACACTGGGGAGCAAGCCAGGGACCTGACCAGGAATTGAATCACGATCTTCTAATTCAGAGGGCAACTCTCAACCACTGAGCAACACTGGCTGGTCAACAAGAGTAATTTTTTAAAAACAGGCATGCCCTGTCTGGTGTGACTCAGTTGGCCGGAACATCATCGTGTACACCCAAAGGTGGTGGGTCTGATTCCCAGTTAGGACACATACCCAGATTGCAGATTCCATCCTCAATAGGGGAATGTACACAAAGCAACCAATTAATTATTTCTCTCTCACATTTATGTTTCTCTCCCCTCACCCCCCGTCTCTGTCTCTCTCCCCGTACCCTCTCCCTTCCACTCTCTCTCTAAAAATGAATGGAAAAAAAATTCTCACTCCTCAAGCAAGGATTAAAAAAATAATGCCTGTCCAGTGTTGTTCAATGGTTGAGCACTGACCCCTGAACCAGGAGGTCATGGATCAAGTCAGGGCTGCGGGCTCCATCTCCAGTGAGGGATGTGCAGGAGGCAGTCCACTGATGATTCTCTCTCATCATTAATGTTTCTGTCTCTCTCTCCCATTCCCAGTAATCAATTAAAAAAAATAATAACAACAACAGCCCTTGCTGGTTTGGCTCAGTGGGTAGAGCGTCGGCCTGTGGACTGAAGGGTCCCGGGTTCAATTCCGGTCAAGGGCATGTACCTTGGTTGTGGGCACATTCCCAGTAAGGGATGTGCAGGAGGCGGCTGATCGATGTTTCTCTCCCATTGATGTTTCCGACTCTCTGTCCCTCTCCCTTCCTCTCTGTAAAAAATCAATAAAATATATATTTAAAAAAAATAATAAAAAAAAAAAAATAACAACAATAAAATAAGAAAAAGAACAGGCAATGTGATCAAGGATCTGTGTAAAGGGTATTCCAAAACAATGATGGGAGTGCAATTCAGCAATTACTCTGTTAGGAATTTACCCTAAGGAAATACACAATAATATGGTTCAAAGATGCTCATTCATAACCATGTTTATGTTAATAAAAACTGTAACTTAGCCCTAGCTAGTTTGGCTCAGTGGATAGAGCATCGGCCTATGGACTGAAAGGTCCCGGGTTCGATTCAGGTCAAGGGCACATGCCCAGGTAGTGGGCTCGATCCCCTGTGGGGGGCATACAGGAGGCAGCCAGTCAATGATTCTCTCTCATCATTGATGTTTTCATCTCTCTCTCCCTCTCCCTTCCTCTCTGAAATGAATAAAAATATATTTAAAAAAACAAAAACTGTAACTTAAATAACCAAAATGGAGAATTTATTAAACAATGATCATATAGTCAAATAGTGGCATATTTGGCAGCCATTTCAAATAGTAGAAACTCACAGAACAATGTGAAAATGTTTCACAATGTATTGAGAGAAACGAGCTGTCTGGAAAAGACATAATCGCTTTTTGTTTAAAAAGAGAGAACATACACCTCAAATGGTATCTATATATATAAAAGCCTAAGTGACCGCTTGACTGTTCACTATGATGCGCACTTACTACCAGGGGGCAGATGCTCAATGCAGGAGCTGCCTCTTGGTGGTCAGTGTGCTCCCACAGTGGGAGCGTTGCTCAGCTGACCGGGATTACTGGGGCTGGGATGAGCAGGAGCGGCTCCTCCCTGGATCCCTGCAGGCCATGCCAAGGGACCTCCTGGTGCACGAATCCCTGCACTGGGCCTCTAGTGTATCAAATAACAGTGATTGTTTCCAGAAGGCAGGGACTAGATGATTTTTATTTTCATCTATATTTACTTTCTATAAAATGTCTTAATTTTCTATTAAAATAAGATTAGAAATATATTTTAATTGAATCAAGTAGTTTTATCGCTGACTATAGTATTGAAGCCATGATGATGCAATTATAAAACTTTATTTGAAAAATTCAAATGTAACCTATTTAAGGCATTATTTCCAAAAGATCTTGATAATAGCTATGATATTATTATTTACTAGAGGCCTGATGCACGATATTCATGCACGGGTAGGGTCCATAGGCCTGGCCAGCAATCAGGGCCCATCTATGGGGCGACTACCACAGCCGGTCGCTTCCTGCAGAGCAATTGGGGGGGGGGGGTAGGAAGGGGGCAGCGCCAGCCCACTCACTGGCTGGCCCCGCCCCCCGCTCGTCCAGCCACTGCCAGTCGCTTCACTCTGTGGGGCGACTGGCAGGGCAATCAGGAGGCCCCCCGCTGGCACCCACCTTGGCTGGCCTGGGGTCTGAGGGCTGAGGGCAGCTCCTGTGTTGAGTGTCTGCCCCCTGGTGGTCAGTGCGCATCATAGTGACCGGTCATTCCACCGTTTGGTTGATTTGCATATTAGGCTTTTATTATATAGGACAATAAGAAATATATATTTGGTCTTCGCCTCTGTTCCAAGAACTGATCTCCTAAAACCTTTGGAATTTCCTATATAATAACAATAAAGGTGCCTTTTGTTTTTCATAACCAGAGTTGTTTTTATGAGGAGACTTTTGGAAAGCCCCTAGGTAATCTAAGGATGGGGGTTGGTTATGAATAGAACTAACCATAATTAGAAGGTTAGAACTTCCACTTCACCCTCCAGACCTCTGGGGAGAGAAGAGGAGCCGGAGACTGAGTTCAATCACCAATGGCTAATAATTTAATCACACCTAATTCATGAAGCAAGCCTCCAATAAAACCCAAATGATGAGTGTGGAGAGCTTCCAGAATAGGGAAGAAAACACAACCAGGAGGCTCCAGTAGGGTCCCCACACTCAAGGGGGTAGTGCCCTGTGCTTGGGACAGACCCTTTCAGAACTCACCCTATGGATCAATTCTATTTCTGGAATTATATCCTTTTTATAATAAACTAGTAATCTAAATAAAATATTTTCTTGAGTCCTGTGAGCCACTCTAGCAAATGAATCCAATCTGAGGAGAGGGTCATGACCTCCAATTTATAGCCAGTCTGTCTGAGACAGAGATGACAACCCGGACTTGCAATTAGCTTCTGGAGGAAAGGGGAAAGGGAGTGTAGTGGGGGTGTGTGTTGTAGAACTGAGCTTTGAACCTGTGGGATCTGACACTATCTCAGAGTAGAGAGTGTCAGAATTGAGTTGACTTATAGGACAGCCTAGCTGGTGGTGTCAGAGAACTGCTTGGTGTGGAAAAACTTCACACACATTTGGTAGTTAGACATGTCAAAAGTGAAGTATTCTGTATTGAGTAGAGAAGACACACAGAAGTTTTTTCCTCTTACATTACAGTGTACAGGAATATCACTTTACAAAGTTTATTAATCTATTACACTTCTATTCTCTGATAAAGGTGTCAAATATCTTATGATTTGTCATTAGTGACAAAACGCAAAAAAAGGATAACACAAAAATTCTTAGATGTCTTTTTATAATCTGTTAACTTAATAGTCCCTCATATTATGTAACTTTTTTCATCTCATTTGTTAGGAGAATAATTCTTTCCTAATTAAAAGTTAAAATCACAGCAAAAAAACATAATAAAAGCATCTCTATACAAATATCTAAATATTTTAAGCTATAACTTACCATATAAGGAATACTCTGCTTCCTGACCTGTGTCACTCTCACTGGAGGTTGATGTGAGGCTGGTGGTTAAAGTATTACTTAATGACTGCCCAACTGATAAAACTGTTGTTGCTGTAGCTACATTGCTGCTGCTCGTAACACTGGATGTTGACATAGTCACTGTTGATGTAGTACCAGGTGTGGTCAAATTAGGAAAACTCTGAGCACCCATAAGAGGAGAAGCTAAAGATAAAAATGAAGCAAATCAGTACAAATAGGTAGAATATTACAAATCTTAGAATAACTAGGTTGCATATTTAGAAAAAAGAATGAGGTCATGAAACATTAATTAAATGGCTGAAAAGCAACTTTGGGAACCCAACTGAAATCCAACTAAAAGTTCTTATTTTTATAGCACTATTATTTTTCAAAAAAATTAAGTCTAGCTTTTTACAAAAAGTGAAATAAGCAATGGAATAATTCCCAATAATATTTTCCAAAGGAACTACTTTGACTCGTTAGTAGTTTAAATTAGAATCAAATAACTTTCAGCAGTTAATAACAATTTAGGACCAGTGTGATTCTCTGATTTCAATTGACTATGATGGTATTAATAGTCATCTATTTTCTCATGCAACTGTACTTAATGATTTATCATAGAAGTGAAAAACAGAAGTGTGTTATTGTTTTATCCTTTCAGAATAAGAGGTTATCACACCTGATCTGAATTCTTTAAATATGATTCTACAGAACTTCATATTCCTGAAGTGCTAAATTTGATGGAGTTGTATCTAACATGGTTAATGTTCTAGTTCAAGACTGAAGCCAGAACCCACTGAACAAGAAACTCTACTTTGCATCCCTCAGAGTGGAAAAGGCATTGGTTTCCATAAGGAAAAGCTCACTTACTTGCTGTGCTCATCATATTCCTCCCCAAAGTATTAGTGTTGTTATCACTGCTGCTTCGGCTTAGATTCATGTTGTTCGTGGCATTAGTCCGTGCTATGTTTGCCACTCTCCTTACAAAACTCTCCAAGCTAGATGTTTCTCTTGAGGACAGGTTAGGTACACTTGCACTAGAGCTCATAGGGGCCCCAGCAGCCAACAAAGAACTCACTGACAGTCTGTTACTTGCTGAGGAGCTAAGGGGTCGTTGTGAAGCTGCTTCTTTATTAGTTAACTCAGATACTGAACTAACATCAGGAGAACTGACACTAACAATTCCCATGGATATTGCACTAGACTCCCCAGGAGTACGAACAGAACTATCAGGGCCTAACTTTCTTTCAGCATTTTCACTTCCCGTTTCCGCTGTTAAGGTACTGGTGCTGGCACTGGATGATGACCCTACTTCTGTTTGAGGGATGTTTTCAGCAGATGAAAGAACAACAATTGGTTCATGGACATCAGCTCCTGAAACTATACTGTGTTCCATTACAATTTCTGATCTCCGTTCCGTTTTGGTCGAACCCAAGCTGATGTCGCTGCTACTGGCCACGCTACACACAGAACTGCTGCTTCCTTTTCTACTTGAGGAGCCTGCAGCAGCAGATGTCTTGTCTGGACAGTTGTTTTTCACCAAGCTGCTCCATGATTGCGTTGTGCCTGAAACAGTGGATGAAACAGGTTTGGGTGATGCCACTGTATCAGGGTCGTACCCTGGTGCAAGCTTGAGGTCAAATTTTCCTTCTGCGCCCATACGGTAAGAGTTTGAGCCACCAGCATCCCAGGTGACATCAATCCAGCCTGGAAAGGGACAGGAGTTTGTGAGACCCAGCAGAAAGCAGATAGGAGCGTGTCAGACAGTAGCTCCACAATATGGGATCAGCTTTTCATCAGTGTTGTCTGAATTTCTATAGTCATTTAAGGTCTGCCAACTAAAATTAAATTCTTCCTTTTATTTCTATTACTTCTGAACTGTTTGCTTTGGTGATACTTAAAAACAATATAAGGGTCATGTATATGTCTACTGGGGTATCTTTTAAGAGGAAGAACTGTTAAAAATTGTTTTAAAAAAAGAATACAAATGGTAAAATACTGCAACTTCAGCAATATAGATGAAATCTAAGTAAAAGGTTTTTTAGTTGCTAAATATGATTATGTGGTCAAATGTTCTTTACAGAAAAAATTGCTGGTTTACCATTCAATTCTGAGTTTGGGCTAAATCCTATAATTGACAGACAAAATATTCATATATCACTGTAGAAATTTTAGGTCACTAGCTCAAATAACACTAAGTTAGCATTTCGGTTGTGTTCTCAAAGTTCAGTGGTTACTTGGTTCTCTGATGATTAAGTTTAATATATCTGAATAAGCACAGAAAAATCCTAAAAACAAAAATTTTAAAGTATACTAAGCCCTTTTACTAAAACTAATAACTAAAGCTATATACTAAAGCTAATAACATGTGAAGAACTAATGAGCAAAATGACATTTAATCTATATTTATTTGTATTTGGAAAATTATACATATTATTTTTTTAAAAATTAACTCCCCAAAACAATAAAGTGCCTATTATAAAGGAAACTAATAGAAATTTTACAATCTTATTTTAGTGTTATAAACAAACTACATTTCATGGACGAACACATAAAAATGTTTATTTTTAAATATAACAAGTCTTTATAAAGTTTAAAAGTCCTTCGGCCATACACATACCCACATGCATGCACGCATGCACACACATGTATACATACGTGTACACACACACACCACACATACACACACACACACACTCTGTTAATTTATGTGTATGATGAGGTTCAGAGGGATATAAGCAATATTGAATTACCTGTGGGGATTCTCTGCATATGAGTTCTTTGAAAGGAAAACTGCCCCAAATCTACATAAATCTAGTTTACATGAGATTTCAATTGTCTCAATTTATTCTTTATGCTGAAATAACCTCTGAAGAACCAACAATTAACTATCTCTTCTGCAACATGGAAAAGTATAAGAAAAGTAAAGGTGCAAAAACATATCCCAGCCCCAAATAAAAATAACATTTGCATTGCATTAATTGATTCAAATATACACTGATAATTTATTTCACAGCACTTATAAAAATTTGTAATTATATGTTTATCTGTTTCACCCAGAAGCAGGGGAACATACTTTGACCATTGTATACCTGAATTCTAACAAAGTACCTTTACAATGTAGGCATTCATAATTGTAGAATAAATAAAAATTATTATATACGCATTGGTTGGATATCCCTATCAACACATAGATTCTTTAGGGGAAAAAAAAGATTTAATTGATATAATGTAGAAAATAATTTTAAAATGTAAACTATTCATATTAGTCTGAGAATGTGTTTAAATTCATGTCTAAGGGGGACTAAGAAAGGGTACATATGTTCTATCCATAAGTATATAGGAACACAACTCTAAACTCCTATGCCCCCAAACTAAATAAAAACATAGTGTTAGTAATAACTAGCCATTATTAGAAATGGTTGGCTTAAGTATTTGAAAGCTAAGAACTCTCTCTGACATAAAAGTTTTAAAGTAAACTAACAGAAATTGTCATCCGGTGAGCCAAAACTCTGAGTCTCTACATATGTCAGATAAAAAATAAGCCTCTCTTATATGCTAAATTCTGAAGTTATAAGATTCCAATTTTCCTATGCAGTTGCTTCAGTTAATTCTAGCCCAAGAAAAATTAACTGCATTCACATATACCCTAAACTAGCCCACACAATTAAAAGCCAAAACAATTTAGGAGAAACAGAATATTAAAAAAAAGAAACAGAATATTAACTAAGTGTACTTAAATACCAACAAACATATTTGAAATTTCTGAGTTGAATGGTACTATTGTCATCTCAACTATTACTGGTTTTTATGACTTTTGGCAATTATGTACATGCTCACTTACTGTTAACCTGCTACGATAACAATGCTCTGCAATTAGGATATGACTCTAGAGAAATGCATTTCGTAGTATATAATTCAAGGAACAGAATCTTAAAAGCAATAAAATCAAAGAGTTTATCTAAGTAAATTTAGCCTTTATCATACAGAATATGAATATATTCAGATATTAAATGTTCGTCATTTTCCTAAGCACTGTCACTTTTCCTAAGAACCTACCATTGGTTAGGCAAATTATCCACTAATAAATCAACCTTCTAAGGTATAAAAAAAAATTACTCGTAATAGTTGAATCTGGGAATTAATAGCAATTTATTAAATGGGTATGGACTTCCCTAAGCTGGCAGGCGGACATCCCCCGAGGGGTCCCCGGACTGCGAGAGGTGCAGGTCAGGCTGAGGGCCCCCCCCACCAGTGCACGAATTTCATGCACCAGGCCTCTAGTATTAAGGTAAAGATCAATGAAAACTTACAAATAATAAACTTAAAAATAAAAAAGCAGAAAATGTACCTTGAGTGGATTCAACTTATACTAGCTTATTAATCACTTCGAAATTTTAGCAATAAGTTTTGAGTCAAAACGTAAGAAAATTTTAAAATTTCCCTTATTTGTGAGTAAATGATTTTTTCCATTTTTATGTGAAATCAACAGATCAGTTCTTCTACATAAAACCAGGATATTTATGCAAATTATAAATTATCCCAAAATAGCAAAAGAAAAGTATTTTGTTATTTAAGTACTTAATTTCTACACTACAAATGCTAAGCACCTACTCACCATTATGCAGTTCTCCAGTGACGGTGCCTTCTCCCTGTGGGCTGCCATCCTGGTCTCGCCATTTCCAATCAAGGCCTCTGATCACACGAGCCCCTGGAACCATGTATTTCAGAACCTGGGAGCGTACTAGACGCCTTTGTCTTCTAAGATTAGCTTCTGCTTCCTTAGCTGCTTTTCCTGTAAGGTAAAAATTAGAGAAATATAAACAAAATCACTTCAGATAAATATAATTATTTTAGTAAGTTAGAAAAACCCATTATCATCTCTTTACCTAGCTGATCTTCACATACTCCATTTACAGTGCCATAAAGTTCAAATCCAGACAGTGAGAGGTAGTGAGTTTGACCACTAGCATTCTTTCCCATCTGTTTAATTCTCACATGTCGCCAACCTTGTTTCTCATCCTTTGGTGGATCAAGAGGCCATGTTGCTGTTGACCTATAAACATGTTAAGGAAAAAATGGTGTAATATTTTACAACAGACGAAAAGATGTTTTAACGTGCAGAAGAATTTTTACATAACAGAGAACTATAGGAAAAACAAAGTATCTTTCATATTCAGTCAAGTTTGTTACACAAGAATAAAAAAAATCAAAGGGAGAAATATAGTAATCAAGAAAATAAGTTAAATATTAAATGTTTAAATGTATACTGTAATTTGACTCATAACATTAAATGATTTATGATTAATGAAATCCAAAGAAATAAGACAAATTTTGAGTAACAAATATGTTTTTATGATGCAAAAGACTTTTTAAATTCTTGAAATGTTTTAAATGATATATTTAAGTATTAATGTTAAAGCTTGAAAATATTATCTAGTAATCTAGTTAAGAAGCTCCTTCCATACTACATCAAATGCAGAAAGTAATTTAATGCCATACTCTATCTACCCTTCAAAATGTGCCACAATGTACAATTAAAAGTTATTAGGACTAAAATTTTAGAAATGTAATACCAATTCTTTTAAAAAATTTATTGATTGATTTGAGAGAGAGGGGGGGTAGGGGGAGAGGAAGGGAGAAGGACAGGAGGACAGGAGGGGGGAAGGGGTGAAGAGGAAGAGGGAGGGAGGGAGGGGGGGAAAGAGAGAGAAACACTGACTTATTGTTCCACTTATTTATGCATTCATTGGTTGATTCTTTTATGTGTCCTGACTGGGGATCAAACCCGAAACTTTAGCATATCAGGATGATCTCTAATCAATTAAGCGATCCAGGCTGAGCCCTGATCTTCTGTCTTTAAAAAAATTATATATATATATATAAATAATTTAGGAAGAGATACATAAAAATAATAAAAATTTGTCAGCCATCTATAATAATAAAAGGGTAATATGCTAATTAGACCGGACATCCTTCCGGATGAAGCCGGGGCCGGAGCGAAGCGGCCCGGTCCCGGATGCCTGCCAGGAGCCCGAGCAAAGCCCAGGTCCCGGGTGCTGGAGGGAAGCCGATACTGGCAGCCAGGGGAAGGAAGGCCTACTCTTGCATGAATTTTCATGCATTGGGCCTCTAGTTATTCAATAACCAGCAATAATTTGTTGAACATTCACAAGTATGATGTGAATATATGGAGAATTTAATAAAAAACTAATTCCATTTTTTGTTTTTTGTTAGTGTGCTATACAGACACACACATCGTAATGTATCAATTTCTTTTTAAATATATATGTTCAGTTTCTACTAATGTTTAACTTAAAGCTTTTCACAAAGTTTTGGTAAAGTCAGCATTTCAAGTTTTAATACCTAAAATTTATTATTAATAATATACTGTTTTCAGAAAGGAAATCTTGCTTCAATTATCTCACAAAGAAGAGAGCTCTAAGGATATACAATCATAAAAATAAACATGGCTCTTTATTGAGTTTTCTAATGCACAAAGACTCCTCCACTAACCCTGGTTCATTGAGACTGCAGTCATCAACATGGGTATACAAAGAGGTCCAGTTCTGTCCATCTTTGGATACCTGGAAAACCCAATTTCTCAGTGCAGACCTTCCATATCCACGAGCATGACGAAGTGTATATGCTGATGGTATCACCCAGAGACCCAGATCTATGGCAAACCACGCATTCTTATCATCATTGCTATGACAATTTAAAGCTGAATTATCACGACTTAGTATGTCTTCTAAGCGGCCATAAGGTAGATTTCTTCCTTCTGATGAGGTTACTACTACAAGTCCATAAGCAGCTGGATTTACCCATTCATATGCAGTTCTATACAAAATAAGAAAATATTAGCAGTTAACACTATTAACATATTTATTCATAGCTTTTATCATACATAAAATTATATCAACTTTTAAAATTCTACTATTAACAATTTGTTTTTCTTCATGAAAATTAATTTAGCCCTAGCCAGTTATTTGTTTGTTTTTTGTTTAAATATATTTTTATTGATTTCAGAGAGGAAGGGAAAGGAAGAGAAAGATAGAAACATCAATGATGAAAGAGAAGCATTGATTGGCTGCATCCTGCATGCCCCCTACTGGGGATCAAGCCCACAACTGGGGCATTGTGCCCTTGACTGGGATGGAACTAGGAACCCTTCGGTCCACAGGCTGGTGCTCTATCCACAGAGCCAAACTGGCTAGGGCAGCTCTAGCCAGTTTTGCTAAGGGGTCAGGGCATCGGCCCTCAGATTGAAGGGTCTCAGGTTCGATTCTGATCAAGGGCATGTACTTCAGTTGTAGGCTCAGTCCCCAGACCCAGTCAGGTCGTGTGTGGGAAGCAATCAATTGATGTGTCTCTTACATCCATGTCTCTCTGTCTCTCTGTCTCTCCCTCCCTCTCTCCCTTCCATTCTCTCTAAAAATCAATGGAAAATATATCCAAAGGTGAGGATTAACAAAAACAAAGTTAAATTAGATAGTTTTAAATTTAACCTATAAGACAAAATTTCATTAACTACAGGATACTCAAATCTTATTCTGCTACCTAGAATGCTTTTTCCAGGTGAATTAAACAGAATGACTTACTTGGCATTTGTCCCAATCCAGTAAATAATTCCATTTTCATCAAAATCATGCTGGTGCCGAAATATAAAATTTTGTCCTTCTCTTAATTTTCGAACAAAAATAAATGAAGATCGATCAAAATCATACCACTGCTTTGCTACCTAAACCAAAGAAAATACAAAAGACATTTTACTAATAATATTGTAAGACACATTGCCCACTCTTATCCTATCCCATTAATGTGAGCTATTTTACTATAACAAATACTAATTAAACAATACTTGAAAAACACCGAACAGAAATGTGCAAAACCAAAGTAGCCTACTATTAATATCATAGAGTATTTCTGTAGTCTATTATTTCAATAGCTACAATAAAACAAAGTCTTGTTTATACAATACAAAACACTTTTCTCTTACCTGGTTTTATATATTTTAATAGCTCCATAAAAGTACTCAAATTAATGGAAATAATTGTCAATTTGATATACCTTTATTGATTGGCATTAAGGTTTTGTTCACTATTTTAGTACTGCAAGTAACTATAATAAACATCTTTATGAAAAAGCAATTTATAATGTATAAAGATTATTTTCTTAAATAAAGTCCTAAAAATGGAATTGCTAGATCACACTGTATTACCATAACTCTGGATGCATACTTCCCAAATTACTTTCCTAAAGGGCTAGACCACAGCAGAGAATGGTTAGTTCACTATGCCTTTGCAAGAACTCAACATTTTTTTTTTCTTTTCTTTTAGATCTCACCATTTTTAAGAGGTACTGTTCCAAAGATTCAACTGTAGCTAAGGGTTCCATCTTCAACATCCTGCCAGTCCTATCTATCAATGCAGTTTCACCAGGTGCACGTTCCAACCGAAACCTTAATCTTCTTGTAAGTATCTGCAGAGAAAGGATCAAAATACTTCATGATTACCTTGCATTTTTCTTGAAATTGTAAAAATGAAACTGTTACATGAACACAGTGATTCAAGTTTATAAAGGATCAATGTCCATTGATAAAGGAAGAATCAATGTCTGTTTCTATTAAATATGTATTTTTAAAAAAAGGTCCACCGAGTAAGAGATATAAGCTTTCAAGAAAAAAACAAAGTTAACTACTTAAAGTTTCTAAACAACTTCAACTATACATGGTATAAATAAAATTATTATAAAACACTTTAACAGAAGTATTACATCTCTAATTTATTACTTATATTTTTCCAGTTAAGTTATGAAAAGTACTAATTAGTATATTCCTTTAAAACTAGAAATATATTAAATAATCTATAGCTAATAAACTTTTAAAAATACAAGATAGCTTCCAATCCATTTATTTTAGTAAGCAACAAGTAAGTAGGAGACTAGCAATATGAGGTAGCTTCATTTCTGTATAAATCTATAAACACAATTAAATATTTATATGTGCATTTGGATAGCATTTTAGACTGCAAAATTACCAGAGGGCATATTTCTAACCTTCCTGTCTTTGTATCTTGCACTCTCCTGAAATGAGAAATACATAATGAAAGATATTTGTGCTCCTAAGACTTTTTCAGTCTTTGAGACTAACTAGTCTCTACTTCACTCACTTATCAAAATAAAGCCATAAAAAAAAAAAAATGGACTACCCTAGCCGGTTTGGCTCAGTGCATAGAGCATCTACCTGCGGACTGGGGGGGTCCCAGGTTTAATTCTGGTCAGGGGCACATGCCCATGTTGCGGGCTCAATCCCCAGTGTGGGGCGTGCAGGAGGCAGCCAGTCAGTGATTCTCTTTCATCATTGATGTTTCTCTCTCTTTCTCTTTCTCTCTCTCTCTCTCTCTCTCTCCCCCCCCCCCTTTCCTCTCTTAAATAAGTATATATATATTTTAAATGGACCACAAAATTCCCTTGGCTCCTCTCTATGTCTGAAATGAAACTAAGTAGACCTCAATATCTTGTTTAATATACATTCAATGTGAGGTGCACTAACTGCACTGTAACTTCCTGGAAAAACTCTCTAGTCTGGAGTCTAGTGGCTTCGGTAACATTATTGGATTCCTGGGGATATGGCAAGTTTTACCTTGAGTAGGCACTGTTTTGGCAAATACAGATTCTTGGTTACTTATTAAGGGCAATATTTAAAAGAAACTTTCTATGCAATGGAATACAGGATAGGTTGGACAAAGGCAAGATTCAAGGCCAAAGGACCTGTTAGAAAAGATTAAAGTAACCCATAGAAGATACAATGAAGGTATTAACAGTTAAGAATATTTGTCTGTTCATACCTATATCACAGGTGCTAACAAAAGAATAATATAATAAATGAGAATGTCAACCAAATAACATTTAGGAAGAAACAGGCTTCTTATAAACACATAGATAATGACAGATTTCTGAAAGGATCAATAGGAATAGCTAAAGAAGGCCTTCTGGCTCTAACCAATAACATCCATAAAGCAAAAAAAAAAAAAAAAAAAATGCGTAAAATGTTTTCACATTTTCTTGTATGTTGACACAGAGACGAAGGAACTTAACTCATGATTCTAGAACAAAAGGAACCTTTTTCCTGCTTTTCCACAGGTGAAGTGTCTTTTTCCACTTATGACCTACCAAATGATTTATTACTTAAAATATTTTATTAAAAATCCACAGTAATTTCATTAAACAAAATAAAACTGAAATTTCAATACATTCAAGAGTCATGAAAAACAACAATCAAATGGCATTAAGGATAAAATCTTTAATAATTAAGCAGTATCATTATTTAATACAACATGAAAGGAAATTTTTTGGTCTGTCTGTGTGTTTTTTTTAAAGACCGCTCCTAAATGCATTCAACTATAATAGCAAATGCCTTTTGCATGATTACCTGGAGGTTGTATGTAGATCCTGGAGTATCATACAAATGGAGAGGTAGACGTTCAATAGATTCTAGTACAGCTATTAATTTTCGAATTAATGCAACTGCTGGTCGACTGTGAAGCAAAAATAATTGTTAAGAGTTTTTATATAATTTCATACAAAAGTTCATACAGAAACTGCAATAACCAACCCCATATAGATCCCACTTCCTAATGAGTTCAAAGAGAAGTTTGTGTACTACACTACATCTGAGTAAACAAAAATACTCTAACTCAATTTCCTTCCCTTAATAAAATATTGCATTTTACTTATAAAAGTTTAATTTATTGCATTCAAAGTAGATGTGTAATTATTATCTTTAAATTTACCCCTTGTATTATATTTGACACATAAAAGAATATATGAAACAAATATTTTTCGGAAGTGATATTTGTTGGCAAGGCAACATTGGTACAATATTTCTGGAAAATAATTCGACAGTATCAAGAAACTTAAAAAATCATCGAAAACAAAGACCATTTTAAAATGATATCAAGAAAATCATCTATAACCATTAACGCAGTAAAATCACTTTAAAATTTTTATATAAGATATTTCCATTGAGATAAGTATTTACTAATATTAAAATAATTTGCAAAGAGCTAAAATTTTTAATATAGTAATGTTAAATTATTATACATCCATAAAATGTAATATGCACTCATTCAAAGTGATATTTCAAATTATTAAAATTAAATTTTAATTGTTTTAAAAAGTCACTCACATTCAGAAATAAGATAATAAAAGGAACTTTCATCAACCCTTGACCCAGCTTCAACTATTAACTACTAATAACCAATTGATTTCTATCTACATCCCCATCCATTTCTCTCATCCCCATATGTTTTGAAGAAAAGTGCCAAAGAACATATCATTTTGTCTATAAACATTTTGAGTATGTATTTCTACCAAGGAAGAATTCTGAAAAAACAAAAATCATTACCACACCTAAAAAAATATGAACAATACTTAATCCCATCAAATATTTAACCAGTGTTCAAATTTCCAGTTGTAACTTAAAAAAGAATTTAAACTAAGTGATCATCTACATTCAGAGCACATATGTAATTTTCCTTTTATTCTATTAAATTAAAACATGTTTAAAAATCTTGCAACTTATTATGCATTTACAATATAAGCTACTTCATATTGTAAACACAGCGAATATCAAAATCTTTAAAATGTGGAGATTTACCTTTCATCATCTTCATTTTCACTAAAGGCTGTTTTGAAAACATTTATTCTTTCTACCAGTTGACTACAATCTTGTTTCACATCTAAATCCATGCTCTAAAGAAAACAAAAATAAGAAAGTGGAAAAAAAACTTTTAAGGCTGTTACTAAAATTATCAAAAACACATGCTACAAAGATGAATATTAACATTTACAAAAAAAAGCAATATAATCTAATGAAAATCATTTTCTTTCCATCAAAACTCATTTTATTATATGAGTAGTAGACCATAGCTAACAAATACATAGATTATTTTTCCTCCTTTTTCAATGTTATAATGGAATAGCAATTATAATGTGAAATCAATCTGTCTCAAAGTGTAGTATACAAGATGATTTCAGATTATTTATATTTTGTATTTTAACAGTACTATTTTATTAGAAAAAATAACTGCTTTAATAAAACAATAACTTAATAGACATTACTAAGAGACATCATGTGACATATCAATATAATTTTAATAAATGGAAATTAATGCAAATGATAAAATTAATAAAGAAAATATGAGACTGAAGTTAAAGTGAATCTTTTGAGTGTATCACCACTACAATAATTAAGATCAAGTAATTTGCCCAAGCTGGTTTGGCTCAGTGGATAGAACCTCGGCCTGCAGAACTGAAGGGTCCCAGGTTCGATTTTGGTCAAGGGCACATGCCCAGGTTGTGGGCTCAATCCCCAGTAGGAGACATGCAGGAGACAATCAATGATTCTCTCTCATCATTGATGTTTGTATCTCTCTCTCCCTCTCCCTTACTTTCTGAAATCAATAAAAATATGTTAAAAAAAAAAAAAAGATCAAGTAATTTAAGTGGTCAACAGAACTAAAATAGAAATTTTCACTTTTCATAGTTCTGTTAGAATTTGTTACAATAAGTACATATGATGTTTCATCAAAATAAAGGAAAATTTATTACAATAAAGAAATTAAAGGTAGAAAAAAACTGAAGAAAAATATAAGGTTATTAATCAAATACTTGTCGAATATTCACATAAACATCCTAAACTATCATTTCTCACAAAATTAATTTTGTGCAAATAATTTAGGTATTTAACAAGGTCTACAGATTATTTTTTATAAGAAAATCAGAGCATGATGTTAAATCTCAGGCTAAAGTAAGTATTTTATTCAATAAATCTTGAACAAATTATAATCAGGTAACGCGAAAACCAAAATAAATAATTACTTATTATTTAATTCAACTGGCCCAAATTAAGAATACAAATTAAGGGAAAGACTGCAGAAATTATAAATATTAACATTTATTACTCAGCTTTTATTATTTGTTGGCAAAGCAAAATAAATATCACTCTGCCAAAAAGGTAGTTACAAATGATCTTTAAAGCTATATATTTTGTTCTGTACATAACAACTTACGTTGTTTAAAACAGTAAGAAGTGCTTGCACCAAGCCACTACTGCACATTTCATATGGTGAAATGGTGTTTTCATCCTTCAAAAGTACTATTAGATTTTCTAAAGCTGTCTTCATTAAATCTCTCCATGTGTTCTCACTCTCAATACACTAAAAGAAAAAAAATACATTAAACTCGTAAGTCAAGGCCCCACTGTATTTTAATAAAGACAATCAAAAAGTAAATGTCTTAAATATATCAGAATGTTAATTACCATGAAAATAAATTAGATAGTAAACAAGATTAAGAAGTTCAAATTATTAATGCAAATTCACTCTTCCAGTCAGCAAACTTTTCTATAAAGGGCTGATAGCAAATACTTTAGCCTTTACAAGCTATGTGGTCTCTATCACACCTATTCAACTCTACTGTTCTAGCCACCAAAGCAGTCACAGACAATACAGGGGTAGAAAAAAGTAGATTTACAGTTGTGAGTATGCAAAACACAATTTATTCTTGATTATTTATTCATTATTGTATTACTTCTGTGTATTATAACTATACCAGTAAACCTTTTTTTGCCCATCCTGTATGTCAATAAGGACGGTGTGAGTAATAAACTACTTTGGACACTGACATTATATTCTCATATAATTTTTATGTATCATGAAATGTTATTCTTACTTTTGTTTTCAACTAAAAATGTAAAAACCATTCTTACCTCACAAAGCCAAACAAAAATAGGTGGTAGAACAAATTTATCTCATGGGTGATAATTTGCTGATCCCTAATCAATACCTATAACATAAAGGATAAAAGGGAAAAGCTAAATCAAGATAACTATATGTCATAAAATTTGAGGCTAACATACTTGTCTATTTGTATGAAGTTCCCAAGATGACTCTAACTGAGTTGCTATGTTTCTGAGTGTTACCACTACTCCACGAGGCATGCTTTCAACAGCTTTAAAGTGGTCATCATATAAATCTCGAGCCATAGTTCGTACCTATCAAAATTAAATAGCAAATGTGAATTTTCACAACTAATAATTTTACCAAACCTTCCCATATATATATGCAACTTTTATAATTAAGATGTTTATGTCATTATCAACTTCCAAAAAATGGTATGACTTCTATTCATATATGTCAAAAGGTTCTAAAGGTTGAAAAGTACTCTAGTAGATTTTAGTCATGTCAAATAAAAGAACTCATAATTTTAATTTGGGGTTATTTAAACTTTGTATTCATGTATCAGAAAAGAGCTTATTTCATTTAAATCCAAAACCTATAAAAAAATTGACTTTGCTTTTAAGAAAAATAAATGATTACACTTCTAGAAATTTATCTGAAGAAACCCACAACACTAACTTGAAAAAAGTATATACACTCCCATGTTCACTGTAGCCTTATTTACAATAGACAAGATTTGGAAGCAGTCCAAGTGTCCATTAATAGATGAGTGGATAAAAAAAGCAGTGGTACATTCATACAATGGAATACTACTCAGCAGTAAAAAACAAAACAAAAAAAAAGCCTTACCCTGAAGAACATTATGCTAAGTGAAATAAGCCAGTCAGAGAAAGACAAGTACCATATGATTTCACTCATGTGAAATCTAATGAATAAAATGAAGTAAAATACAGACTCATAGATAGAGAGCAGGCCATCAGCTGTGGGGGGAGGAGGGGCAGGAGGGGCAGGAGGTTGAAGGGATTGAGCAAACAAAGAAAAAGATGGGAAAAAAACTCAACACTGTGGTGATTGCTGGCAGGAGAGGGGGTGGGGAGAGGTGGAAGAGGGTGTAGGGCAGTGATTCCCAAAGTGGGCGCTACCGCCCCCTGGTGGGCGCTGCAGTGATCCAGGGGGGCGGTGATGGCCACAGGTGCATTTGGGGGCATATATCTTTCTGTTTAATTGCTATTAAAATTTTTAAAAAATTAATTTCCAGGGGGCGCTGAGTAATATTTTTTCTGGAAAGGGGGCGGTAGGCCAAATAAGTTTGGGAACCACTGGTGTAGGGGGATAATTGGTGATAGAAGGCAAGACTTGACTTGGGGTGGTGAACACAATACAATATGCAGATATGTGTTGTGGAACTGTGCACCTGAAACCTGTATAATTTTGCTAACCAGTGTCACCCCAATAAATTCAATAAAAGGGAAAAAAAAGTAAATGCTTATAATCAACCATTTAGAAAATACAGTAAGCAAAAAATAAAAATTAAGTCACCTTCAACCAAAATTGAACCTTTTAACATTCTGGAGTATACTTTAGGTTACATGGTATGTGTATTTTCTATGTATATTATTAACACAAAGTACTATCTATATCATGCTCATATATTTACACATTTCATCATAAGAAGGAATGACTATATTATTGGCTCTGGTACTAATTAGCTTTCATTTAAATGAAATTAATTTTATTTGAGAAAAACCCATACATGTCCAAGGCCTGGGTCTGTTGAAATTCATTACATAACACTCTTTAAAAATATATGCAACAAGTAATGACAAGGATATGCAGAAAAGGGAACACTACGCACTGTTGGTGGGAATGAAGACTGGTGCAGCCACTGTGGAAAACAAGCCCGTCCAAGCTGTTTGCAGTGGCTTTACCATAGGAATGGTCTGTCCTGGCTCAGGCTTTAGACTTTCCTAAAATCTCTCAAACAGCAGCTGGGCTCAGCATGCCCCATACCTCTTGAGATTAGAGTAGCATAGTTATATGGCTCAATTTTTTAAATGCTTAAAATCTACCACTGAAACCTTACCATGTCAGTATAAAATAATTTTTTTAAAGCAGCAAATCCCACAAATATACCTTTTGTTTTGTTTTTTCTAATTTAGATTTCAGTTTTCTGCCTCTTTTGCCAGTCCAGCCAGTCACAAATTCTGAACCTTAAAAAAAAAGCACATTTCACACGACATTTTTTATTGCCATTTAACATACTCATTTATTCTTAATCTGCTAAACTTACATACCTACATACTTACCCAGAGAAGTTTCTGCAGTAAATGAATGTTTGGTTCCTCTATTAGATTCAAATACAAAACCAGGTAAATCTTCTTTCAATATTGTTGCTTGCTGACCATCTGAGTTATGAATAGCAATTTCTCCTTCCTTCAAACATGTTAGTGACCAATTCCCTACAGTGAGTTTAGTGGGTCCTGGTGTTGAGAGTATAGGTTGACTTGCAGTAGATGGCTTTACTTGGCCTCGAGCTCTTTGTAACTTCTCTAAGAATTCACTTCTGCTTTCTATAAAGACAAAATGAATGTTTTATAACCTTACTTCTTTCAAATATTCCTTTTTTTAATAAAAACTATTCATTGGGCCCTAACCGGTTTGGCTCAGTAGATAGAGCGTCGGCCTGTGGACTGAAGGGTCCCAGGTTCGATTCCGGTCAAGGGCATGTACCTTGGTTGTGGGCACATCCCCAGTAGGGGGTGTGCAGGAGGCAGCTGATCAATGTTTCTCTCTCATCGATGTTTCTAACTCTCTATTGCTCTCCCTTCCTCTCCGTAAAAAATCAATAAAATATATTTTTTAAAAAACAAACAAAAAAAACTATTCATTGGAATAACAATCTTATTTTTAAAAACTTAATTAGCAGAGTTTAGTTCTTTAGTAAATAGAGGCTCAGGCATAAAAGCAATCCTACAGCCACAATTTTTTAAAGTTTAAGGCTTTTGGGAAAAGTTATAGCTTGAGACAGCATCATACAAGTGCAATTCATCATTACGAGACAAAAGGCAGCTTTACCTAAAAGACCAGAGAGATTAAAAGTAGATATAATGCTATTCTTTCTTGTACAATAAAAAGGTATTTATGAAATGCTTTCATGATACAATTTTTCTGTTGATATTAAAGAAATTGACTATACTGGCATTAAGGATGTGCTATTTTTTTATGACAATGGCAGCAAAAATATAAGCAGAAAAACAAATGATCAAAATTACAGAAACTAGCCTGGTTAGTGTGGCTCAGTGGTTGAGTGTCAACCCATGAACCAGGAGGTTGCAGTTCAATTCTGGTCAGGGCACATGCCCCAGTTGTGGGCAGTGTGGGGTGTGGAGGAGGCAGCCGATCAATGATTCTCTCTCACCATTGATGTTTCTATCCCTCTATCCCTCTCCCTTCCACTCTCTGAAATCAATAAAACATGTATTTTTTTTTAATTGCAGAAACTAGTAAAACACTTTAATAGAAACAAAATATTACCTGAACTATCCGATCCACCTTCAGGACTACCACTTGAATACATAGTAGCAAGTTTTCCATCCAAGATAAATCTGAACCATCCATTACTGCCATTAGATAATTCCAAGGCTGCTGCATCACTCCATATATACAAGCAGTCTCTTCCCCTAATGATTGACCAGTCTCTCCAATGATATGGTTTACCTTGCTGTAATTCTTTAGCATCTTCCTGTGGTTCATCTTCCTAAATGTGTAAAATTTTCAAAGAACCGTGAAAAATAATTTCTATTCCAAATATTCATTAAGTATTTTTAAAACACAAACATGAATCAAATTTAAAATAAAGACATCCTGAAGAGCCCTGGCTGGTGTGGCTCAGTTGGTTGGAGCAGTATCCCATGCACTGAAAGGTTGTAGGTTTTATTCCGAGTCATGGTACATACCCAGGTTGCAGATTCCATCCCGGTTTGGGGAGTATACGGGAAGGCAGTCAATCAATGTTTCTCTCCCTGCCCCCACCCCCCCAATCCCCGCCCCACTCTAAAATCAGTAAAACATATCCTCAGGTGAGGATTAAAAAAAAAAAAAAGAATAACAACAACAAAAAAATCAGCCTGGCTGGTATGGCTCTGTGGTACACCAAGAGGTCATCAGTTCAACTGCCTGTCAGGGCACATGCCTGGGTTGTGGGCTCCAGCCCAGAAGGGGGCACACAAGAGGCAGCCAATCGATATTTCTCTCATTAATGATTCTATCTTTCCCTTCCTCTTCTAAAAACCAATAAAACATTTTTTTAAATCCTGAAAATATTCAGTTGCCTGTATTCTGATTCAACTAATTACCTATAATCATACAAGTAAGTCCTAAAAATGTTAAGTAATTTATATTAATAATGACCTATGTTACAACATTTCCAGGTGTACTGGTAAAGAAGACCAATGGATTAGGTCTAGCCCAGCAGTTGCCAACCTTTTGGACCTCATGGACCACCAGTTGGCGACCACTGGTCTATTCGATATCTCTGGGCCTAACTGATTATTTGTAAAAAAAAATAAAAATAAAAAATATAGATGTTTAAACTAGGTGAATGGTATCCAAACCTAGCAGAATCATCAGAGAAGCTCCTAAGAATAAATTGTAGGGTAACTTTTAGCCAAGTGAATCAAATATACTGAATTTTTCCTGTGATCATAAAAATTCTTTTAATTAGAGCATGTTAAAAAAACAAACACACACACACACACCTTATAAATACTGTTTGCCTTCCCTGGTATCCTAAAAAAACTCTTATTTTATTGATACTTAAAGATTGAGACTATTCATCATAACCATATATGAATTTGACGTGTGTGTATCCATGTGTATACGGGGAAAAAACACTTTTAAATTTTATACAGACTTACCTTTTAAAAAATATTTTGTTTTCCCCCCTAAAGTAGCTTATAACACTAAAATAAGATTGTAAAATATAGATAATTCCTCTACACATAAGTAGTTATACCCCAGTCCATCATAGATTAAGAAGGAACATGATTTGTCAATACACTGCAAACAAAAAATAAACAAAATATATGAAAATGTTTTCAAACATGGAATAACACAGGACTGTGATTCCCCAGAAAATGGAAAAAAAGTAAATTCCTTATGTCCAGACACAATTTTCTGGCTAAGGTATTAAGAAGAGGGAACACACGATTCAGCAGTAAGCTGAGGAAATGGAGACCTGTGTTTGAAAAGGTTAAGGCAAATAGAATATGTGAAGACTAAGTTTAGGATGAGAGAGTCAAACAAAACAGACTACTAGAAATCTGCAAAGTAGTCACCATAAGTATCTACTGAGTAACAGACCACTCACATATAGGGTTGAGCAAAGTAGGATTAAAAAGTGTAAGCTGAACAGTTCCCAGAGATCACAGAAGGTAGTCAGATACTGGCATTCCAAACAGCCAAAGTCGAAAATCCTTGAACTAAATAGCTGAAAAGTTTCTAAATGTGACAAAACCTTAACCCCACAGATTAAAGAAAACCTAACGATCCTGAACAGAAATGGACAACCACATCCACGTGCATATATATCCACACCAAACACAACAAAGGTATATAAAACTCAAACTGCTAAAATAACAATGATAAAATCTTTTTTTTAAAATATATTTTATTGATTTTTTTACAGAGAGGAAGGACGAGGGACAGAGAGTTGAGAGAAACATGGATCAGCTGCCTCCTGCACACCCCCCACTGAGGACGTGCCCACAACCAAGGTACATGCCCCTGACCGGAATCGAACCTGGGACCCTGGAGTCCACAGGCCGACGCTCTATCCACTGAGCCAAACCAGTTACGGCGATAAAATCTTTTTTAAAGCCACAGTATAAAAAGATAAGTTATATATACACAAAGGAACTAAAATGAGAATTAAAGCAAACTTTTCAGTAGGAACTATGCACATCAGGTGACAATGGAAAATCTCTTAATGTTCTGGAAAATGATAACCCAAGAGTCCTTCTGACACTGAAAACACTCATCAAAATGAATGCCAAATTAAAATATTTTCAGACAAAAAAAAATCAGAGAGAATTTTCTGATATGCTTTTTCTTTTCTTAACAATGTATTTTGAAGAGCAGAAGTTTAATTCTGGTAAAATACAATTTATTGACTTTTTGTTCTTTATAGTTTAACCTTTTTTAAAAAAAAATTTTTTTATTGATTTTTAGAGAGAAACATCGAAGTGAGAGTAAACCATTGATCAACTGCTTCTTGCATTCCCCTTACTCGGGGCCGAGCCCGCAACCCGTGCATGTGCCAACCAGGAATCGAACTGGCAACCTTTTGGTGCAGAGGACGATACCCAACCTACTGAGCCACACTGGCTAGGGCTATAGTCTAACCTTTTAAAATGTCCTATTTAAGAAATCTTTGTCAAGCTCAAGGTTACTAAGATTTTCTTCTTTTTCCTCTAGAGGTTTTATGATTTTACTAGTGACCTGTCGCACGAAATTACACCGAGACCCAGAACCCCCCGGCCCCCATGAACGCCCCGAGTCCCAGAGTCCCGCCACGGGACCGCCCCGAGTCCTGGAGTGCTGCCCCAATACCCCACCTCAGGGCCGCGCGCAGTTGCGCTGGGCCCCACCCCCACGGCACGCAAGTGGGCCCGCGGAAACCCTGGCAGAAGTCACGTGAAGCGGCCACCGGGACCCTCGCAATGCGCACACATGGGGCCGCAGAAACCCTGGCAGAAGCCGTGCAGAGCGGCCACCGGGACCCCCACGCCCCCACAGGGCTGCAGGAACCCCAGCAGAAGCCTCGCAGAGCAGCCACTGGTCCCGCCCCCACTGAGCGCACCACCATCTTGTGACAGCATTATGGTGTGCGGGTCAATTTGCATATTACCTATTTATTATATAGGACTCCATACATTTTAGTCTATGATTTATTTTCTTTTATTTTTTGTATATGGTATATATGACAAGGATCAAGATTTCATTTTTTGTATATATTATACACTTGTAAATCTTTTAAAATTTTTACTGAATGGATTAAAGTGACATTGGTTAATAAAATTATACAGGTTTCAAGTGTACAATTCTATATCATCTGTATACTATATTGTGTGTTCACCACCCAAAGTCAAGTCTCCTTCCATCACCATTTATCCCACCCCGACTCTTACCCTTTACCCTCTTCTACCTACCCCCACCCACTTTCCCTTTTTTGTTTGGGGATATTTGACTTTTTTTTTTTTCTTAATCTATTCACCTATTTCATCCAACCCCCATTCAAGCATTATTTTTTTAAAAGACCATCCTTTCCTGATTGAATTGCCTTAGCACTTTGGCTGAAAATCAATTGACCATATAGAGCAGCGGTTCTCAACCTGTGGGTCGCGACCCCCTTGGGGGTCGAACGACCCTTTCACAGGGGTCGCCTAAGACCATCGGAAAACATATATAATTACATATTGTTTTGTGATTAATCACTATGCTTTAATTATGTTCAATTTGTAACAATGACAATACATCCTGCGTATCAGATATTTACATTATGATTCATAATAGTAGCAAAGTTACAGTTACGAAGTAGCAATGAAAACAATTTTATGGTTGGGGGTCACCACAACATGAGGAACTGTATTAAAGGGTTGCAGCATTAGGAAGGTTGAGAACCACTGATAGAGAGTATGTGGATCATTAATCTATCTTATACCACTACCACACTTTCTTGACTACAATGGCTTTATAATAAGACCTGAAATCTGATGTATGTCCTTCAACTTTGTTACTTTTCAAGGTCACTTTGGCTATACTAAGAACCTTGCATCTCCATGAGTTAGAATCTGCTTGTTAATTTCTACAAAAAGACTACTAATATGTGTAACCTGTATCTTGAATGCAAGAATTTCAGGGGTGATGAACCCAGACATCATCTTATTTGCTTAGTGTTTGTTTTTTGTTAAATTTAGTAAACACACAAAATCAATCTCTTCCTCTCTTTCTCTCTCCCTCTCCCCTCCTCCCTCTCCCTCATTCTCTTTCTCTCCTCAGGATTCTATAATTACAACTATAACTCAACATCCTCTCAAAAATATCACTACTCTGTCAGTAATATAGAGTAAGCATTCACTACTAAATGTTAGTACTAAATCACTGTTGGTAATCAGTAAAGATAGATAAGGTAAATTTTAAATTTGTAATCTAAGGTAAGAATTATCAATGAATACTGAAACTAGTAATTAAAGGATAGCATAGTTACATAGTTTCAAATTACCTCCCCACAAATTATTTATTAATTACAAAAGAAAGAAAAATGACTATAACAGAGAAACCTGGCAGAGGCCAACATAAACCAAGTGACCCAAGTTAACATCATCAGCAAGAGAGCAACAGGACATCATGGGCTTCTGAGAAAGCACACTATGCACTGAGAAGAAGCAACATCTCTTATAGTCTGCCTGCTAAAAGCACATAACCTGAATCTAATCATGAAGACACATGGCACATATGCAAAATGATGGCCACTGTCCAAACTAGTGATCTGTCCTCTTCAAAAATGCCAAGGCTCTGAAAGAAAAAGCAAAGCTGAGAAACTGTTGCAGGTTCTCAGAAATATGATAACTAAATGTGATTACGTTTTCCTAGATTGCATTCTAGACCAGAAAGGAAAAAAAAATGCTATTAAGGACAATAGCAAATTTGAATATTATCTCTGGATTAGATAGGTATATATAAATTTTAGTTTTTGATAACTATACTAGCAATGTATAAGAAAATGTTCTGGTTTTGTACGTGAAATTTCTATGTGTAAAAAGCTTCTAGGTGGACCTAACTGGTTTGGCTTGGTGGATAGAGTGTTGGCCTGCAGACTGAAGGGTCCCAGGTTTGATTCCGGTCAAGGGCATGTACCTTGGTTGCGGGCACATCCCCAGTAGGGGGTGTGCAGGAGGCAGCTGATCAATGTTTCTCTCTCATTGATGTTTCTAACTCTCTATCCCACTCCCTTCCTCTCTGTAAAAAATCAATAAAATATATTTTTAAAAATATATTTTAAAGAAAAAAAGCTTCTAGGTGTAAAAAGAGCCTCTGTCAAATAAATGTCTGTGTAAATGAAAAAGCAAATGGAAAAAATGTCAAAAATCAGTGAATTTGGATAGAGGATATTCTGATATTCTTTATTTGCAACTTTTCTCCAAGTTTTAAATACTATCAATATATTTTAATTGAGCAAATTTTTAAATATATAATACTACTTCGTATTACCATTATTTTGTCAAAACTCGCTGTAAAAAAACATATTTTTAAATTGAGCAAGTTTTTAAAAATATAGTACTACTACATATTGTCATTATTTTGTCAAAACCCACTAAACTATTCCTGATATCACTGCAATTAAGACCACTCACTTTTTCTGGTTTTGATTCCTCTTCATTCTCATCATCTGAGGAAGGACCTGCCAAAGTTGACACTTTGCTAATTACACCAAGTCTGGCTAGCTGATCCAAAAAAATATCACCACCTTTATCTACTAAATCCCTTATGATCTGCAAAGCCAACAAGTGGCCATCATCATCATCCTGGGGGGAAAGAAGAAAATTAAGAAAAAATTATAAAAACAAGTTCAGTTTTTTTGTAGTAAACAAAGGCAATAATTTGCACAGACAAAATGATTTATTGAATTAGGACAAAAGTTAAATTATTTTATTGACCATTACCTCAAGGGATTTTACAGGAGTTTCAATAAAGATTAAAAAAAAAACTGACCTCTTGATCAAGGACAGTTGCAGTGATTTCCACGAGTATTGTAGGCAAATTGTGACCAACATCAGAATCACAAACTTCTTTTAACAATGCTTCAGAGCAAAAGTGAATCATTTTTCGAATCAGAGCAAGACTTGCTTTCCTTGAAAAGTAAAAGAATTTTAGGAAGTCATAAAAAGCTGCAATAAAACAAAATGTAACTATACATTAATGAAAACTAAAATATCTAATGTTAGGTGTTATAAGCTCTGCGAAAAAGTATTTTTTTTAAATAAAAAACCTCACTCGAGGATATTTTTTCCATTTATTTAGAGAGTGGAAGGGAAGGGGAGAGACAGAGAGAAGATAAACACTTACGTGAGAGAGACACATAAAAAAACTGGTTGCCTCATAAAGGCGCCCCGACTAGGGCCAGGGATCAAGCCTACAACCAAAGTAAGTGCCCATGACGGGAACTGAACCCATGACGACCCTTCAGTCTGCTGGCTGAGCTCTAACTAGCTAGGGCTGATTTTTTTTTTTTAATATATTTTATTGATTTTTTACAGAGAGGAAGGGAGAGGGATAGAGAGTTAGAAATATCGATGAGAGAGAAACATCGATCAGCTGCCTCCTGCACACCTCCTACTGGGGATTTGCCCGCAACCAAGGTACATGCCCTTGACCGGAATCGAACCTGGGACCTTTCAGTCCAAAGGCCGACGCTCTATCTACTGAGCCAAACCAGTTAGGGCATAGGGCTGATTTTTTAAAATATTAAACCACAAAGCAGATATTCTAGTACCATTTACTAAATAATCCTCCCTCTCTCAAGTGGTCTATGAAACTTCCATTATAATACATTTATTTCCTAAATATAATTGGCTCTACATAATGAGACAGTTTTTCCACTGATTTTGATGAACTCTTGTGCCAGTTATCATAAAGATTTAATTACTGAAAGTTTATACTTGCTTTTCAGATTTGTCTTCAATAATCTCACCTGTTGCCTGACCAGCGTGGCTCAGTGGTTGAGCATTGAGCTATGAACCAGGAGGTCAAGGTTCTATTCCCGGCCAGGGCACATGCCCGGGTTGCAGGCTCGCTTCCCAGTATGGGGCGTGCAGGAGGCAGCCAATCAATAATTCTCTCTCATCATTGATGCTTCTCTCTCTCTCTCTCTCTCTCTCTCTCTCTCTCTCTCTCCCCCTTCCTCTCTGAAATCAATAAAAATATTTTATTTTTTTTTTATTTATTTTTTTTTAAATATATTTTATTGATTTTTTAAGAGAGGAAGGGAGAGGGATAGAGAGTTAGAAACATCGATGAGAGAGAAACATCGATCAGCTGCCTCCTGCACACCCCCTACTGGGGATGTGCCCGCAACCAAGGTACATGCCCTTGACCGGAATCGAACCCGGGACCCTTCAGTCCGCAGGCCGACGCTCCATCCACTGAGCCAAACCGGCTACGGCAATAAAAATATTTTAAAATAATAATAATCTCACCTGTCTATTCCTCCCAATGAATTTTAAGACCTATCAAGTTCTAAACCAAATTCTGTATTTTCTTTAGAACTGCATAATTTATCAATTTTTGAAAGAATTTATACTTAGATTATTTAAATATTCTCCTCCAAAAACAATTTCCCCTTTTATCCAAAAGTCTAATTTCTCTCAAATTGTAATTTTTAAAAAAATTAAATGAATCCTCAGATTTCCTATGCTAAACAGTGAACTCAATCTTTGTCTTATTGACACTAACTCCAAAGATGTTTATTTATACCAGACCTCTTCAAAATTCAATGTAGCTGTTCTTCAAAAACAAAGTGGGAAGTCCTCAGTCTATCTTACAAGAGACACATATATATCAAATCATTATATGGTACACTTTAACATGAAGTTATATATCAATTATCCTATACTAGTGGCCCAGTGCACAGATTCGTGCACATTAAAAGGAAATGAATTAGAAGGTGGCCAGCAGGGCAGGACTGGGCGAGATGGGCCGGACATGCCCTGGAGCCAACCTCCCTGGCCAGCAGCACCTGGGGTGGCACTGGGGCTCAGTGGGTATCTGCAGTCACTGCAGCTCATCAGTAAACCAGATTCGGGGTGACAGTACCCCAGCAACAACATAATCCACGGCCGAAGGTAAAATTGCATGGCCCCGCAAGGAATCGGGCTCCCTCCTCTCTGGTTCCGGGGTGCGTCACCAGAGAACCACTGCTGCCAAGTCACCCCTGCTTGGGAGCTCTTGCATTGAGCATCTGCCCCCTGGTGGTCAGTGTGCAGCATACCTACCAGCCAGTCAGACTGTCGCTTAGCCTTTATATATATAGATAATAAAAGTCTAATATGCTAAGTGTCCGGTCGTCCGTTCAACCAATCAAAGCGTAATATGCTAATGAAGGCTAAGGCTGCTGAACCGCTCACTATAATGTGCACTGACCACCAGGGGGCAGACAGTTGACCGATCAACCAGTCGCCATGACATGCACTGACCACCAGAGGGCAGACACTCCGACCAGAAGGTTAGCTTGCTGCTGGGGTCCAGCTGATTGGGACTGAGCTAGACAGGCCGGACACACCCTGGAGCCCTCCTGCGGTGGCCAACCTCCCGTGTCCCTCCCCAGCCCTGATAGTGCATCAGCGGGGTCCCTCGGCCTGGCCTGTGCCCTCCTGCAATCCGGGACCCCTCGGGGGATGTTGGAGAGCCGGTTTCGGCCCGATCTCACAGGCCAGGCCGAGGGACCCCACTGGTGCATGAATTCGTGCACCGGGCCTTTAGTATCTCAATAAAACTTGGGGGGGGGGGGGGGTGTCTTAAAGAGAATAACCCACCATTAAAACTGCTATCCTCTGTTTGGAAACCTTCACTGATCTGTTGTCTGCCTTTTGTTTCCTGAACATACACTGAATATAAGCCAGTACTGATATCTAAAAGGCTAATATGCAAAGTGTCCCCTCAGGAGTTCAACCAGGAGACTGGGACTTCGATCACTCGCTATGACGTAGGGGGTGGCGTAGAATGAAGGAAGGCCCCGGCTGGCAGCTGGAAGGCCCCAACGGCCCTGATCGCTGGCCAGGCCTAGGGACCCTACTCCTTCTAGTATATAAAATATATATACACACATATTCACATTCCTTTAACTGTCTGATCAAAGTACATGTTACTCTTCTGATCAAATTTCAAACTGAAAAGGTAAAAAATTAGGTTGTAACCTATTTAGTTTTTAATATTGCTAAAAGACTGCTTGCACTTTAATGTAACTCATAATACTGGTATTAAGGCACTTGAATCATACTAAACTACATGTTCTAATAATCTCCTAAACTTAAAATGACCAAAAACAAATTCTCAATTACTTAGTCAAAAATGTGGCAGGCATTCTTCACCCCTTTCTTTCCTTCATCCTTCACATCCTTCACGTCATCTATCTCTATACAACCCATCTATCTCCCAACACCTTAAATCTGTTTCTACAAAACTAGTGCCCTGACAACTGTCTGAAGTTCATATTACAATGGATGCTTAAATAATCTGTTTTCATATTTCCCTCCTCTAGTCCTTTTCTCCACCAAGCTGGCAAAGTGTTCTTTATAAACCACAAACCTGACTTTAACAGATTTCCTCATAAGTCTTTACTGATCCCTTTAACTGTGATGTAAAGTCCACACTCATTATAACGGACCAAAAGGCCTTCATAGGTCACAAAATCTCCTGTCTACCTTTTTAATACTACTCATTGAGCTATCTAAACATATCCCATACTCCATTAATATCAAACTATTTACAATTGCTAACAAAACACACTCATTCAATCATTCAGTAACTATCTATTGAGGACCTTCTAAATATCAACCCTATTCTAAACCTCCTTATCTTTGTAGGAATACAGCAATACATAAGGCCAGCATTCATGGAGCTTACTTTAGAGGAGAGACAGACAATAAAACAAACAGAAACACTAAAAGAACAAGATTTTTGACAGTGTAATAAAACAGACAGTAAAACATTTACTGTCTCTTTTACAAAGACAGTAAAACATTATGATTGATGTCAAAGGTGTCCTAGGGGTAAATTTAAATTAGTTGGATACATATCAATGGATGTAACATTTGAACTGAGAACTGAATGATATAAAACAACCAACTATTCAAAAGACTTTGAAACAGAAGTTTTCTGGAAAGGGAAATAAGTAAAAAAGCCCTAAGGTAAAAATATACTTGGAGTGTTCCAGAAATACAAAGGTAGAATTGTGAAGTGTAATGGTCTAGAGCAGCAGTTCTCAACCTGTGGGTCGCGACCCCTTTGGGGGTCGAACGACCCTTTCACAGGGGTCGCCTAAGACCATCGGAAAACACATATATAATTGCATATTGTTTTTGTGATTAATCACTATGCTTTAATTATGTTCAATTTGTAACAATGAAATTGGGGGTCACCACAATATGAGGAACTGTATTAAAGGGTCGCAGGATTAGGAAGGTTGAGAACCACTGGTCTAGAGGTTAGATAGTACTAAGGTCAGAGAACTAGGTGGGACTTATGTAAGTAAGACCTTGCAAGCCTGAGAGTGAAGGTGTTAGGTTTTAGTTAAAGCCATTAAAAGCTACTAACACAATTTAAAAAAGTGATATGACATAATTGTGATTTTAAAAATAATTCAGCCTTATATGTAGGAACATACTATAAAGGGGCAAGAGAGAAAAAAAGACTACAGTAGTAAAACTACAAACTATGACTCTGAACCAAAGGATTAGCAAGAGATGGATAGAAATGGCAGACTATAAACAGACACATTGTAGCCCTGGCTCGTGTGGCTCAGCTGGTTGAGCTTTATCTGGTGCCCCATAAGGTAAGGTTGCCAGTTCAATTCTCAGTCAGGGCACATGCCCAGATTGTGGACTCGATCCCTGGTCAGGGTGCATGCAGATGGTAGCCAATCAATGTTTCTCTCTCTCCCTTGCTCTCTCTCTCTCTAAAAATCAATAAAAAATAAAAATAAAACATATTTAAACATACACACTGTAGAGGGAGAGCCACCAAGAATTGCACCAGGATGGACTAATTCATACCTCCAAACTTTGCATATACCAGTGCCCAATGATGCTTCTAAATCTGTCTAGAAAACACCCAAGTATCCTTTAAAACCCAATTTAAATCTCACTTCTGCATAACATTTCCAATTTGCCCAGCCCAATTAGTTGTTAAATAACTTATATTTCCAGAGGACTCATTATATGTCTAATCTGTCAATTATCACTCTGTATTATTACTGGTCTTTCTCATTAGCCTGCAAAGGTACAGTAAGCAAGACCCAAGTCTCATTTCTTTGGGCAACTTCTCCAAAGACCATATCACACTGACTCTACCAAAAATGCCTCCATAAAGCTCAATAAATGTTTGCTTACTTATCAAAATTTCCCCAGAGTTGACATTCACAAAGCTCTAAAAACTGTTAGAAACCTTGTCTTTTTTATTTTCAAAACGACTTCTCCTAAGTCAGATCAGAAGAAAAGATTTAACTCTCCAATCTAATTTTTATTCTTATCATATCTTTGCAATATTAAAAAACACCCCAAATCCTGTGGAAAAGGGAGATAAATAAAACATATAATTGGCATAATTTAATTAGTAAGTACAAAGAGTATGAATAACTACCTTATTGAAGGTAACATAGTTTGCTGAAATGTTTGTGCAAACACTGGCAATAACCTTTTCAGGTATATGGGTGCCATTTCTGGATCTCCTTTTGGCTCATTACATTCTTCTTCATCTTTGTTTGTATCTTTCTTTTTCTTATCATCTCCTTTATTAACTGGACACATCCAATCACCTGCAGACAAATACTGTTCAGTAAAATAATTTTTGGAAAAATTTTCCTTTCAATGAAAAAATATTAAAATGTACCCAACTCCAAACTATAATTATCCATAATTAACAATAAATTAAATTGAAATTAAGATGATGTATCTACCAAAGGTGCTTGTAAGAATACTAAAGAACATTAGCACCTCCAATGAGCTAAATCACAACTTAAGGAGATAATTTTGAATATTCCACCTGAATTCTATAAACTGTATCACAGAGGCTATGTATTCATATATTCTGTGAAAACGTAAAAATTTAGTCAATGTACTTCATCTACACAATACCCAACAACTCTTTATGACACTTCCAGACTCCTTAAACTTTTGATTTGGGCTCTCTGAAATCATACAGCCATAGTCTCTAAGAACACAAAACAGAACCATGTTAAAGGGTTATCAAATGTGTGTATGTATATAATTATTTGACTTCATAGAAATAATGCACCTACATAATGTTAATGTCTACAGAAAGCTACTCCTATGGAAGTAAAGCTGAAAAGTAATAGCAAATGGCTTACCAGGCAAGATTTTACCACTCACCTGGAGACTGAAGAATAACCACTACTTCACTATGGCCCCTTTCCCGAGCTTTATCTAATGGAGTTTTCCCATCTTCATCTCTCAGATCTGGGTTTGCACCATGTCGTAATAGAGTCTAAAAAAGAAAGGCATTTAATTTGACGATAACAACACTTTATTGCTTTACTATCCAACTCTGCAATCATTAGATTGTACCCATATACTTTAGATTACAGATTTACAGAATTACTTAATTAAGCAGATATCAATTCAAATCTGTCTTTGCATATATCACCATAAAAGTTGTCTATTTATAACTTGAAAAAAAAGTATAGATTAATTTCACTTGGTTAACAACTCAAATTAAGTATGTTCACATATGAATCTGTCATCCTCTCTATCAAACTACTCCCAATTTCTGAGCTACTAGGGTTCAGTTTGTGACATGGAAATCATCTTCATCATTTCCTACATACTGTCAATTAAATCAGTTCAAAAAAAACCAAGTTAAATCAATTCTTCTGGCATGCACTACAAAATTTAGGTCTTAAGTACTAATCACACTGTTCACCAATATTTTTTTAAATATATTTTTATTGCTTTCAGAGAGGAAAGGAGAGGGAGAGAGAGAGAGAGAGAGATAGAAATATCAATGATGAGAGTCATTGATCGGCTGCCGCCTGCACGCTCCCTACCAGGGACCTAGCCTCAACCCAGGTATGTGCCCTTGACCAGAATCGAACCTGAAACCGTCAGTCCTTAGGTCCGACACTCTATCCACTGAGCCAAACCGGCTAGGGCCTGTTCACCAATTTTTAATGGACACTGGACTCTCCCTAGCAGACTGAGAACAAAACCCACATTTTTCCTATCAGCCTCAGAGGTAGTTTTTTGAACTTTGTTATCATGTAATGAACAGATAAATCTGACAAATAAGTGCATACATAGTACACACATCAGGAAAGTATGCAACACTGGCTAAAAATTCCAAAGGGCTGGGGTTAGAATCATAATATATTCAGTATTTCATTAAATCTGAAGTTGCCATAGATCATTCAAAATATCATTAAGTGCTACTAAGAAAGAAAAAACAATGTCAATTAAACTTTGCAACAATACTATTTTTGCTTGGAACTTTTTTTTTAACTTACTGAAAGAACTTTCTAAAACTTAGATTTTTTCACATTTTTTTCACATAAATTTAGAAAATTTCTGTAACTTCACATTCTGAGCACAATTCTTCATAATTACCCTTTGATTCAGAGTCTCCTATATTTGTGTTTCTACAGAAAATGCTGTCACTTGAGCCATAAAAGCAGTGATACAGCATTCTAAGAGTGCTCTTCTATCAGAACAGGTTTTTCATTCAAGTTACTAAAATCCATTTCACAATTTTTGTTACATGAACAGGTAATGATAACTATGCTGCAATTTCTATGTGTCGAACAATTACAAAACATTTTCTATTTGAGATGTGAAAATGCATGTGGGGGTAGGGGAAGAATGTGGAGGTGTATCTTATAATCAATTAAAAACAGAAGAACCTGTGAAGATTAAAAAAAGACATGTTAAATGCTTAAGACACTGGCTGCCAAAGTTAAAGTGCCTAGTGTACTACCTATTATATCATTGTCAGTAATAGCAGCTATAGCTCACCAATATAGGTTAGATTAGATACAATTCACTTGGCTCCATCTCTCTCACTCAACCACTCATAACTTTAAAATAGTAAAGGGCAAAAGAAAATGGCTCATCAAAATTTTTAGCACCCTTAGAAGCTTCATTCTCTCTAAAAACTAATTCAAACTGACAGAATTCAAGCTTGAAGCGACCACTTTTCCCAGGTTAAAAAACTAAGGTATCATCAAAAATTTTCTAATAGTGTAAAAATGACAATAAAACCAGCTACAATTTGAGTTATCTATGATGGGCCAACTATTATACTAAGTGCTTTTCATGCATTTTTCTAATCTTATATAATAAAAGGGTAATAGGCAAATCGACCGAACAGAACGACCAGCTGCTATGATGTGCACTGACCACCAGGGGGCAGACGCTCAACACAGGAGCTGCCCTCTGGTGGTCATTGCACTCCCACAGTGGGAGCACCGCTCAGCTAGAAGCCGGGCTCACAGCTGTCGAGCGCAGCCTCTCCCACCACCACTAAGGATGTCCAACTACTGACTTAGGCCCACTAAGCTGTCAGGTGGACATCCCCCGAGGGCTCCCAAACTGCGAGAGGACGCAGGCCAGGCTGAAGGACTCCCCCCGCCCCCCCCGCTGAGTGCGCGAATTTTGTGTACCAGGCCTCTAGTTATTACAATAATCATGCTAGGAGTATATATACATTTTATTGATAAAACTGCAAGTTAAACTTAAGAAACTTGCCCAAGGCCATACAGCCTTTTTTGTTAATGGGCTAAGACAGAATCCAGGTGTGCCTGATTTTGTTGCCAACTAACATTGCATTATGCAAAATTACTTCACAATACGATTCTAGAGACCTAGAAAACACTTGGTTCAATCCTTACCATTTGACCTCTTTGAACCTCAATTTCTCCTAATTGTAAAAAGAACTCTCCAAATTGTTTTGGTAAACCAAGAGTCAAAAATACTATGATTCTGCCCTAGCTGGTTTGGCTCAGTGGACAGAGTGTTGGCCTGTGGACTGAAGGGTCCCAGGTTCGATTCCAGTCAAGGGCACATGCCTGGGTTGCGGGCTCAATCCCCAGTGGGGGGTGTATAGGAGGCAGCCGATCAGTGATTCTCTCTCATCACTGATGTTTCTATCTCTCTCTCCCTCTCCCTTCCTCTCTGAAATAAAAAAAAAACTATGATTCTTCTGCAAACAGAATATTTGATTTACTATTAAATAGACACAATATAGAAAAAAATGTACAGGAATTCATTTTATTGCACTTTGCTTTATTATGCTGCACAGATACTGTGTTTTTTACAAATGGAAAGCAAGTCTCTCCATCAGCCAAAGGATTATGGCTCTCATTATTGCAATATCTCCGAGGTATGCCGGTACAAAATTATTCATTGCCAAGAGTAAGAAATTGGAAACAACCAGAGTTTAGCATTAAGTGAGTAGCTGAATAAACTTGCAATACATCCACAGAGCAAATATACAGATATAAAAAAGCTCTCCAACTTTGTGAAAAGTTTTCAATCTATATTATTTAAGGGAAAAGGAAAAGTATAGATCATTGTGTAGATGTTACATTTTATATAAGGTGGTAATAAGCATACATACTTTTGCTTGTATCTGTATTGAAAATGTTAAAAAGATATAAACAAGAAATTTTAAAAAAAATGCTTATCTATAGGGGCAAGGGGAAATGGAGTGAATAAAGATGGCATGAGCCCTAGCTGGTTTGGCTGAGAAGGTAGAGTGTTGGCCTGTGGACTAAAGGGCCCGGGGTTCGATTCCGGCCAAGAGCACATGCCCAGGTTGTGGGCTCCATCCTCCCCCTAGTAGGGGGCATGCAGGAAGCAGCCAATCAATGATTCTCTCTCATCATTGATATTTCTATCTATCTCCCTTCATCTCTTAAATCAATTAAAAATAAACATAAAAATTTTTTTAAAAGATGGCATGAAAACATGACTTAACAGAATAAAAGTTTTTATGTCATTCTAATTTTTGAATCATATATGTGTCAAATATTAAATTAATAATTTAAAAACTTGGACTTTACCTTTGCTACTTGAGGTCTTCCAAAACATGCAGCATAATGTAATGATGATGATCTTTGACCTCTATTAACATCAGCACCTCTTTCACAAAGAAATTCTACCTGTAAAATGATGAAGAATCATAAAGTTGCCTTATTAATATTTCTACCTTTGATTTAAAACATTAACTGTTATTTGTTAGCTTACCATTTCCTGAGTTCCAAAAGCTGAGGCCCAATTTAACAGAGTCTGACCCACATCATCCATAAAATTTACTTCAAAGGCTAGAAGTTTGAAGGGGAAAAAATAAAATTTTTAAAAGCCAACAAAATAATACTGAATTTTTCTAAAGTGGGAGCCATTTAAAGATTATTAATAATCACTAAATACAAAGCTAATTTTAAACATTTAGATCAACTATAACGTAGTTAATAATCAGCAAACATAAATTCTGCTAAGAAAAAGTATTCTAAAATTTTAAAAGCCACTGAAGATTTATAAGAATTTAACCCTTAAAAATAAACAAGACAAAAATGAAAAAAAAATACATAACACAACTCAATAGGATACTAAACTAATGCCATACCTATGGAAAAGAAACGAATCCCCATTTTTAATAAAAATAACATAGCCCTCGCCAGGTAGCTCAGTTGGTTAGAGTGTCGTGTTTGTTAATCTTATTGATTTTTAGAGAGAGAAGAAGGGAGAGAGAAACATTAATGTGAGTGAAACATTGATTGGCTGCATTGATTGGCTGTCTCCTGCACACACCCCACTGGGGATCCAGCCCAAAACCCGGGCATGTGCTCTGTCCAGAAGTCGAACCAGCAACCTTTCAGTGCCTGAGACGATGACCAACCAACTGAGCCATACTAGCCAAGGCTAGAGCAACATCTTGATGCACCAAGGTTGCGGTTTCAATCCTGGGTCAGGGAACATACAAGAAGAAACCAAGAATGCATAAATAAGTGCAACAACAAATCAATGTTCCTCTCTCTCTCTCTCTAAAAATTAATTTTTAAAAATGTTTTAAAAAGAACACAAAAGACAAGTCTGATGACCCAGAAGCATCTTTCACCAATTTATATTTTATTCATAACTTCATGAAGCAATCTTAAAAAATTTACTATATATAATAACTGACTTGTGCCAAATTCGTTAACCTTGAGAATATAACAGCCCTAAATTCAATCTGTAAGTCACCTTAGAATTGGCATGATCTAGTTCTGGCAATGATCTCGTTCTGGCAATAAAACGGGAAAATTTCATTTACTCATTGAAGGAGCATTTACTAAGGTCTTACCACATACAAGACTGATATTTATATACATGGGGAGAAGAGAGATTATTGAAAGGTTCTGGCCATTATCTGGCACAATTGCTAAAAATACTGTCCAAAATCTAGAAACTAGAAAATGCCTATATAAGTCCTTATCTCAGTTTTCTTTTTATTTTTCAATCCTCACCCAAGGACATGTTTTATTGATTCTAGAGAGAGAAGAAGGGGGAGGGAGGGAGAGAGAGAGATACATCGATCAGTTGCCTCCTGTAAGCATCTCGACCGGGGATTGAACCCAAAACCTAGCTATGTGTCCTGACCAGGAATAAAACTAGCAACCTTTTGTTATATGGGACGACACTCAACCAACTGAGCCACCCAGACAGGGCTTAGTTGTTTTTTTATATGAGAAAAGATTTTCCAACCTCCTGTGTCAATTGCATCTATAAGGGCATCGGTATCTTTACTTCGAATACAGTCTATAAGCTGCCGATGTGAGCGCTCTCCTGAACTATCCAATCTCCGGAGTCCTGGGATTCTGCCTGTAGATCCAGCACTAGACTTTGGCAAAGCCTTTCGTCCTTCAAATAATAGCACCAAAAGAAGGTCAACCAAACGCATGGTATCAAGCACACATCTTTCGTCACCCTGCAATGCACTCTCAATTGAATCTGGAAGCTCTGACCTCAGGAGATCCTAGAAAGAGAATGAGGAAAAAAGAGTTTAATATATTTACATCATATAAAAACACATTTTCTGAAAGATTAAAAATATAATTCAAAAATATTCTTACGTGTGTTACTACTGGAGAGCCTCTGCAAAGTGTTGAGAGCAGACTTACGATTGTGGATACCTGGTTACTCAATTTGGAATCTGCAGCTGTGGAAGGCGCACCTGTGGTGCTGCGACCTGGTTTGCAAGCTGATGATGGCCCTGATATGGTACCACCAGCAGCAGCCATTCGAGATAAGAGCTCTTCAGTTAATCCATGTTTGGCTAATGGAGCTGGGTCAACACCACGACGGGTGAATCGGTCAGCTAGTGATGCAAAACATCGAAGAGCTCCATCCGAAACCTAATGATGTAAAGAACATGCATATTGATAAAATTCACCTAGGCCCTGGAAGGGTAGCTCAACTGCTTAGAGCAGTGGTTCTCAACCTTCTGGCCCTTTAAATACAATTCCTCATGTTGTGACCCAACCATAAAATTATTTTCGTTGCTACTTCATAACTGTAATGTTGCTACTGTTATGAATTGTAATGTAAGTATCTGATACGCAGGATGGTCTTAGGCGACCCCTGTGAAAGGGTCATTCGACCGCCAAAGGGGTGGCGACCCACAGGTTGAGAACTGCTGCGATACACTAAGGTTGCAGGTTCAATCCCAGTCAGTAAACATATAAGAAGTAACCAGTTAATGCATAAATACATGGAACAGATGGATGTTTTGTTTTCTCTCTCCCCGCCCTCCACTCAAATCAATCAACAAATAAAAATTTTTAAATTCCCCTAAATAAAAAGGGCTAGTACTGCTTATTTCAATACTGATACTATAAGAAGGGCAGCTGTAGCAAAGAGATTAAGGCTTACAATCTGTCTAGAGTTTAATCCTGGCTTCACACTCTAACTGTATGACATGAAAATGTTACTTAACTGCACAAGGCCTCGGTGCCCTTATCTGTAAAATGGGAATAACAGTACCTATAATTCACTGTCTGAGCTTAATAATGACATATGTAAAGAACCTAGTTGGACGTCAAAAGCTCCATATTAACTAACATTATATAAAACTTTGCCAAGATAACCTATGAATATCAACTAAAAATTAACATCTGAATGTTAAAAAAACATTAAAAGTTAACTTTTAATTTCTCAAATATGTGAATTCAACCAAAGTTTACACATATAAGACTTTAAATACTGTGTTACTTTACTTCAGTGAGAACTATTTTAAGTCAACAAAATTGTGCCGAGTCAACAAATTAGAGTACAAGTGTAGCTTTAAAAATTATATATTTCTAAAACATTTAAGTTTTAGAAATAAACACATTACCATTTTTAAGAATTTTTTAAGTTGATTTTTAGGGAGAGAGGAAGGGAGAGAAACATCAATGTAACAGTGGAGCATCGATCGGCTGCCTCCTACATGCCCCCTAGTGGTGATTGAGCCTGCAACCTGACGACACCCAACCAACTGAGCCACAATGCCACAATGGCCAGGGCGAACACATATTTCTTTTAATTTAAAATGTTTCACTGCCAAAACAAAAAATGATTACTATATAGAGATATAAAGTGAGAGAAAGAGAAGATGGAACGACCTGTACAGTCCATCATAGTTATAAATAAGGGAAACTATAAAATCACTTTTTAAAATCAAAGTACACAACAGTGATTTACCTACCTGGTGATCTTCATGTTTTAATAAACTAGACAGAGATTCCACACAAATTTCTAAAGAAGAATCTTGAGGTTCCATTTTGCCACAGAGTCTTGATACAACAGCCATGGCGGAGTGCAAGGTATCTTTATGAACCAGGTGTCCACTGTCCCGAATGAAGGTAAGCACACAATTCAAACCACCAGCCTCGAAGACTGCTCCTGACTCACGAGTGCATATCAGTTCCAGCACCTGTAACAGTAAAACAAAATTAACAAAAAAATACAGTAAGTTCAATTTTAATTTTCTAGAATCACAGAAAACATAAGGTACCCTCCCCATTTATTAGTAACCACATTTTTTGCAAGTAAAAAAAATTTGGTAGCCACATTTGAAATGTTTAATACTCATATGACTACAATATTGGACAATGTAGGTTTAGGTGATGAAACCTACATGGCATGCTAAGAAACTATAAATAATTTACAAAAGTTTGTGAAGATTCTAAACATTAAAAAAAAAAACTTTTTTTTTTTGCCCAGCCAGTGTGCTCAGTTGGTTGAATGTCGTCCCATGCACCAGGAGGTTGCCAGTTTGATTCCCAGTCAGGGTACATGCCCAGGTTTCGGGCTCAATGCCCAGTAGGGGACATGCAGGAGGCAGCCGATTAATGTTTCTCTCTTATCTATGTTTCTTTCTCTCTCTCCCTCTCCCTTTCTCTCTCTGAAATCAATAAAAACACATTTAAAAAATTTTTCAATAAATGCTAAGTATTACATTATTCATCATCCTCACTCTTACTCTGAATATCAAAACATTAAAAATCAACTTTTACTTTCTAAATTATGTTCATGTTTAAGGTGTTCTGATAGAACTAAAGAGTTAATAGGGTCTATAGGTCATACAGGCTTATGAGAAATTTAGACTTTGTTCTGAAAGCAAGAAAAATGTTTTAAGCAGGGAAATAATATGATCAAAATTTCAATTAATAACTGAGAAACGGAGTATGAGGAGAGTGTAGCAGTTGTAAAAATTCAAGCACTGATATTCAAAGAGGATAAAGGCTTTACTAAGGCACTAAGAGCAGGGACAAACAAGAAAATAAACTAGAAAAGGACTTGATCATTACATGTGTGAAGTGGAAAAAAGGGTAAAACAAAAACTTCTGTCTTGAGTGTCTAGGTGAAAGTTAATGCCAATTATCAAAATAAGAGTTCACCTGTATGAAAGATAATGAATTCAGCTGGAACCATCCAACAGGCCTTTGAATATGAGGTCTAGAACTCAAGAGTGAGGTCAGGTATAGAGATAAAGATGTGACGGGCATATACATATGAATGGCACTAAAGCTGACAGATGAAACCATCTAGGCAAAGTTTAGTTTTAAGAAGGTAAAAACAGTTCTTGGGAAATACTACCACTGAAGACCATCTATATACATAAAAGTGTAATATGCAAATCGACCAGACGGTGGAACAACCGGTCACTATGACATGCACTGACCACCAGGGGACAGACGCTTAACGCAGGAGCTGCCCACCAACCTCTTGGTCCCTCCCCCAAGCCGGCAGGCTCTGATCGCCTGATGGGGAATGGGGAACTGGGGGTGAGTGGCGGCGGATGCGGGTGGTGCCAGGCCAAGGCGGGTGCAAGCAGGGCCCCAATCACCTCGCCAGTCGGTGGCGGTAGCGGTGGCGGTGGGGGGTGGGGCCGGATGCGGGCAGCCGGGGAAGATAGGCCCTGATCACAGGCCAGGCCTAGAGACCCTATCTGTGCACAAATTTCGTGCACCTCTAGTGAATTAATAAGAATAATCTGCAAAGGACAGAGAGAAAGGGAGAGTAGAGTGTAACAGACTAGAAAGAGTTTGAAAACACAGGTCAGTGTATAAGCAGTAGAGTAAAACCCCAGCCCTGGAAGAAACATGAAGTGATGTGATAAAGAGAACAAGATGGGAGAAAAGCTCTAAACAGGAAAATGGATACCTCTTTCTCTAAGACTAGAAAAAAAAATAAATCTACAGCCACAAAGCCAGAAAAGTCAAGACATCAACAATTATAAACAGCAGCTCTCAAAGTCTGAGAAAGACATGATTTTGAGGGATCATTGAAGTCAACTTTTTTCATAATAATACTATCATGATAATTGTCTTTTTCATTCTCATTCTCTCAGGAGTATAAAGTGGACTTTTCCAGAAGTTACGTGAAGTGTGACATAGCAACCAACTAAATGCAGAAGTAGATAGGAGGATTTGGCTCTCTTCTATTAAGCCAGACATTTTTTAAAGGAACTTGCAAAAATGCTTAACAATGCTACTCTTCTAATTTTCTGTTTGTTTGGGAAATAGTTATTTTAAAAAATGTAATGCATGTTAGCATGTAATAAGTTATTTTTAGATATATTAAAAAATACTTCAGGCCTCTTCCAGAGACCCAGCTTGCTGAGCGGCCGCCACTGCCCCTGTCGTCGCTGCCGCTGCCGCCACCGCACCAGGTTCCAGCCTCAGCCACCTTCCGCCGTCCAGTGCCCCTCCGTCCCCACCCCGGGACCCCGGCTCCCCGCCAGCCTCGGGCCCGGCACCATGTCAGAGAAGAGCATGGAGGCAGCGGTCGAGTTGAGCACCAAGGACCTGAAGGAGAAGAAAGAGAAGGTGGAGAAGGCGAGCCAGAAAGAGTGAAAGAAAGAAGTGGTGGAGGAGGAGGAGAATGGAGCTGAGGAGGAAGAAGAAACCGCTGAGGACAGAGAGGAGGATGAAGGAGAAGATGAGGAAGATGAGGAAGAAGAAGACGACGACCAGGGGGCCCGCGCTGAAGAAAGCTGCTGATGAGGAGGATGAAGCTGATCCCAAGCGGCAGAAGACAGAAAATGGAGCATCGGGCATGAGCCCCCTTCCAATGGGCTGGGGAAGGA